CGATGCGAAAACAGATGGTGGCGGTTGTGGTTATGTTATTAAGGCCGCGTTGCAATATGTTACAATTGCTGGTGGCTAATTTGGTTTTCAAACCCGCATTGAATTTGGGTCCGCTTTGTTGAATCCCAAGGGTGGAGTTGAACTATGCAAAGAGGATCCACCATGCCATCCTTAAGTTGTGGTCAGAAAATGGTTTCGCCAGTTTCAGGATGGCTCACGGTCGAAGAATGCCATTGATTTTTTTTCTGGGTCAAACAGTCTGGATGGGTAGTTGTTCATACTTACTAGCTAGCCTTTTGCTGGGTTTTTGAGGTGGCACGCGCTAACCAACTTAAAAAAAAAAACATATATTTTTTGCGAGGTATCCAAAAGTGGCAATGGTTTTTGGGTGAAGTGGCGGTTTCAATGGTACAATCAATCCTAATTGTAAATGATGTGTTTTGGCGGGAAATTTGGTGGAAAAAATCCAGTAAAAAAATGTTGGAGATGGTCCTGCAAAGCCAGTGAAACACGGTGCTGACATGGTCTCACCGCCCACATTGTTTGCAGGGTATCACAAGATGGCTAACAGCCAACACATGTTTCTTCAAAAAGAAAACTGAAACTTTCGCGCCTAAAATTTGCAGGAACCGCCTTTGTTGAGCTAGCAGAATCATTGGGTTACTCATCAAGAAGACCCATTCAACAAGTAGATTTTATCATCAAACAGAACAGATGTCCTCTTTGGCAAACAAAAAACTAGATAAGCTGATAAGTTAATCCAATATCAAGAACCAATCCAACCGACCCCTCCGGTTTTCCCAAATTCTACTAATCTTTGTGGATCCTTCTTGAATCTCATGGCCATTTGCTGCATGTTTGTATATGATCCTGCGGCCACGTCAGGTGTGGAAAAGCTGAGGGCCCGGATGGTTGGAATTCGGCCTTTAGGCGGGTTTCTCTATCTGAATTGGTTGACGGGTTTCTCATCCACCATGTTTTTTATTGTTCAATGCTTCAGGATGCTTCAGGATGTTTCAGGTTTCCCAGGCATTTCATGCGTTGTTCGTGGTTTGAGGAAAATTGTCTCGCCGATCTATCTCTGTCCTTACTTGTGACGGTGATCGTCAGTGATTATTATGTGTAGTGATATTTTTATATATGCGCATATAACATTATATAACATATATCTACAAATTAGCATGGGCCTAAACCTTCAAGGGCCTTAAGGTGATCATCTTGATGTTCCAGGCCAAAAGCGAGTGCCATATGCTACAGAGTTCTCCCAGCTTGCGCGTTTTTTTCCGGAGCCGGAAGAACGGATGAGTGGAGGACCTGGAAATCGGAAATGGAAAGCGTGGGTAGATTTCCATGGGATTGAATAGGACTACAGCGAGCTATAGTGGCGATATAATTCTTCATGATGTTTAACAGAGATATAAAGCCATAATGATGTGATAAATGGGTTCAAAATGGGGGATATCTCGTGTATGGCAACTCTTGTGGGGAACACGATGCTAAACCATGAGGATACCATGGGAAATTTGGTGGTGCGGTGCCGATGTTTGGCATTTTAGGACACCTGCGGATGGGACAAAACTTTGTTTTGCATCCATCAAAATCATTCAAAAACGGCATTTTATTGTTCAGTGCGGAGAAGGAAAGCACCAATGGTTCGGGTAGCCAGGAGTACCTTTTGCAGATCGGGCCCTTCTGAGGAACAGCTTCAAAGGCTGGAAGCCGCCGCCGTTTTTTTATTCTAAGCGGGGCAGGGGCATACGTACAGACATACATTCATACATGTTACAATCTATTATGCTACTATGATACTATGTCGCATCTATGTGTAAATATATATATACACACACTATCATAGACTTTTCTGGGCATAGATAGATAGATTATATAGATTAGATTAGGTTAGATTAGATAGATAGATAGTTATGGTTGTTTTCATACATGCACAAGGCACAGTTGTGGATACAATAGATCTTTTCAATAACATATTCAGACATATATACAGTAATCATAAATATGCATTTTTATTTATCATAGATAACGTTTAATATCCCTAAGGAATCCCCTTGTCTCTTCCCTTTGTCAGATGTTTTTGCTGGGAAGAACGCACGTTGATTCGAAACCAAATCGGGATTCAGTTTAGGCTGCTGTAATCTGCTGTATGTTTTCTACCAAACAAATAAATAAAGTTTTCCTGCAGGACTCCTGCATATAATTTTCTTTTCAGCCACTTCTGAGAACGGGAGAAAAAAACAACCTTTGATGTGCTACCTAGAAACTCGTGTGACCCTCGTCCTTTGCTTTTGCTGCCTCCCGCTGTGCAGAACCAGCACAGTCACCTGCAGCGCAAGAACCCACAGAAAAGCCAGCATCTGCCAGAGTTTCAGGCCAGCTTTTGCAGATGTTCAATGTTTCTGATAGATTGATGTAAGGAAAATGTTGAAGGACTTCGATGTTTTGGTTTGACCACTACAAGCCCGATGGTTTAGCCCAGGGTTCCTTGCACATTTTCCCTCATCCAAGTTTAAGAACGTGGGAATGAAATTCTTACCAGCCTTGGCCCGTACTGAGGATTTTCTGTCGTCACTGGAAGGAGAGAGTCACTGAGTCAGGTAGATCAGGTATGGGCTTTTCTTTTACATGATAGGCACACCCTCTTTATGTAGTGCTGACCGCAAAGACAGCTGCAATTTTTCCACAGATTGACAAGAAGTGCTACTCTTCTCATGCTACCTGTGCGTGCATTCCCAGGGACTAAGAAAGCTGCAGTTGCGGCAGAACCAGCAAAGTCACCTGCAGCGCAAGAACCCACAGAAAAGCCAGCATCTGCCAGAGTTTCAGGCCAGCTTTTGCAGATGTTCAATGTTTCTGATAGATTGATGTAAGGAAAATGTTGAAGGACTTCGATGTTTTGGTTTGACCACTACAAGCCCGATGGTTTAGCCCAGGGTTCCTTGCACATTTTCCCTCATCCAAGTTTAAGAACGTGGGAATGAAATTCTTACCAGCCTTGGCCAGTACTGACGATTTTCTGTAGTCACTGGAAGGAGAGAGTCACTGAGTCAGGTAGATCAGGTATGGGCTTTTCTTTTACATGATAGGCACACCCTCTTTATGTAGTGCTGACCGCAAAGACAGCTGCAATTTTTCCACAGATTGACAAGAAGTGCTACTTTCTCATGCTACCTGTGCGTGCATTCCCAGGGACTAAGAAAGCTGCAGTTGCGGCAGAACCAGCAAAGTCACCTGCAGCGCAAGAACCCACAGAAAAGCCAGCATCTGCCAGAGTTTCAGGCCAGCTTTTGCAGATGTTCAATGTTTCTGATAGATTGATGTAAGGAAAATGTTGAAGGACTTCGATGTTTTGGTTTGACCACTACAAGCCCGATGGTTTAGCCCAGGGTTCCTTGCACATTTTCCCTCGTCCAAGTTTAAGAACGTGGGAATGAAATTCTTACCAGCCTTGGCCCTTACTTACAATTTTCTGTCGTCACTGGAAGGAGAGAGTCACTGAGTCAGGTAGATCAGGTATGGGCTTTTCTTTTACATGATAGGCACCCCCTCTTTATGTAGTGCTGACCGCAAAGACAGCTGCAATTTTTCCACAGATTGACAAGAAGTGCTACTCTTCTCATGCTACCTGTGCGTGCATTCCCAGGGACTAAGAAAGCTGCAGTTGCGGCAGAACCAGCAAAGTCACCTGCAGCGCAAGAACCCGCAGAAAAGCCAGCATCTGCCAGAGTTTCAGGCCAGCTTTTGCAGATGTTCAATGTTTCTGATAGATTGATGTAAGGAAAATGTTGAAGGACTTCGATGTTTTGGTTTGACCACTACAAGCCCGATGGTTTAGCCCAGGGTTCCTTGCACATTTTCCCTCGTCCAAGTTTAAGAACGTGGGAATGAAATTCTTACCAGCCTTGGCCCTTACTTACAATTTTCTGTCGTCACTGGAAGGAGAGAGTCACTGAGTCAGGTAAATCAGGTATTGGGTTTTCTTTTACATGATAGTCACTTCCTCTTTATGTAGTGCTGACCGCAAAGACAGCTGCAATTTTTCCACAGATTGACAAGAAGTGCTACTCTTCTCATGCTACCTGTGCGTGCATTCCCAGGGACTAAGAAAGCTGCAGTTGCGGCAGAACCAGCAAAGTCACCTGCAGCGCAAGAACCCACAGAAAAGCCAGCATCTGCTAGAGTTTCAGGCCAGCTTTTGCAGATGATCAATGTTTCTGATAGATTGATGTAAGGAAAATGTTGAAGGACTTCGATGTTTTGGTTTGACCACTACAAGCCCGATGGTTTAGCCCAGGGTTCCTTGCACATTTTCCCTCGTCCAAGTTTAAGAACGTGGGAATGAAATTCTTACCAGCCTTGGCCCTTACTTACAATTTTCTGTCGTCACTGGAAGGAGAGAGTCACTGAGTCAGGTAGATCAGGTATGGGCTTTTCTTTTACATGATAGGCACACCCTCTTTATGTAGTGCTGACCGCAAAGACAGCTGCAATTTTTCCACAGATTGACAAGAAGTGCTACTCTTCTCATGCTACCTCTGCGTGCATTCCCAGGGACTAAGAAAGCTGCAGTTGCGGCAGAACCAGCAAAGTCACCTGCAGCGCAAGAACCCACAGAAAAGCCAGCATCTGCCAGAGTTTCAGGCCAGCTTTTGCAGATGTTCAATGTTTCTGATAGATTGATGTAAGGAAAATGTTGAAGGACTTCGATGTTTTGGTTTGACCACTACAAGCCCGATGGTTTAGCCCAGGGTTCCTTGCACATTTTCCCTCGTCCAAGTTTAAGAACGTGGGAATGAAATTCTTACCAGCCTTGGCCCTTACTTACAATTTTCTGTCGTCACTGGAAGGAGAGAGTCACGGAGTCAGGTAGATCAGGTATGGGCTTTTCTTTTACATGATAGGCACACCCTCTTTATGTAGTGCTGACCGCAAAGACAGCTGCAATTTTTCCACAGATTGACAAGAAGTGCTACTTTCTCATGCTACCTGTGCGTGCATTCCCAGGGACTAAGAAAGCTGCAGTTGCGGCAGAACTAGCAAAGTCTTCTGCAGCGCAAGAACCCACAGAAAAGCCAGCATCTGCCAGAGTTTCAGGCCAGCTTTTGCAGATGTTCAATGTTTCTGATAGATTGATGTAAGGAAAATGTTGAAGGACTTCGATGTTTTGGTTTGACCACTACAAGCCCGATGGTTTAGCCCAGGGTTCCTTGCACATTTTCCCTCATCCAAGTTTAAGAACGTGGGAATGAAATTCTTACCAGCCTTGGACCTTACTTACAATTTTCTGTCGTCACTGGAAGGAGAGAGTCACTGAGTCAGGTAGATCAGGTATTGGGTTTTCTTTTACATGATAGTCACTTCCTCTTTATGTAGTGCTGACCGCAAAGACAGCTGCATTTTTTCCACAGATTGACAAGAAGTGCTACTCTTCTCCTGCTAAATGTGCGTGCATTCCCAGGGACTAAGAAAGCTGCAGTTGCGGCAGAACTAGCAAAGTCACCTGCAGCGCAAGAACCCACAGAAAAGCCAGCATCTGCCAGAGTTTCAGGCCAGCTTTTGCAGATGTTCAATGTTTCTGATAGATTGATGTAAGGAAAATGTTGAAGGACTTCGATGTTTTGGTTTGACCACTACAAGCCCGATGGTTTAGCCCAGGGTTCCTTGCACATTTTCCCTCGTCCAAGTTTAAGAACGTGGGAATGAAATTCTTACCAGCCTTGGCCCTTACTTACAATTTTCTGTCGTCACTGGAAGGAGAGAGTCACTGAGTCAGGTAGATCAGGTATGGGCTTTTCTTTTACATGATAGGCACACCCTCTTTATGCAGTGCTGACCGCAAAGACAGCTGCAATTTTTCCACAGATTGACAAGAAGTGCTACTCTTCTCATGCTACCTCTGCGTGCATTCCCAGGGACTAAGAAAGCTGCAGTTGCGGCGGAACCAGCAAAGTCACCTGCAGCGCAAGAACCCACAGAAAAGCCAGCATCTGGCAGAGTTTCAGGCCAGCTTTTGCAGATGATCAATGTTTCTGATAGATTGATGTTTTCGTTTGACCCCCTCCATCATCTTCATCCAGGCGCGGAAATTTGGGACATGTCTGAATCATTTCTTGAAGTTTACAGAGTACTTGCCACCAGTTTCATTTGTCATCATTTCCCACGGTTTATGTTTACATGCTGACCACTTTCATCATTTTTCATCATCTATCATCATTTTTCCGGATATTAATTCGGATGTCATGATGTTTCCATGGTATTTCCCTATTTTTTCCACCAGGACGCTTGCGTGGCGTGAAGCGTCCCCGTCCAGAGCCCGCGGCGCCTGCGGAGGAGTCGCAAAAGCGGGGCAAAAGCGCAACTCGTCCGGGTTTCATGGGTTATTCATGGGTTTTATGATTTTTTTGGAGGATTACTGTAATCATGTATAGATAATGTATAGTAGCTATATATGGTTATACTGAAGTTATACTAGTGTACTAGTGTATATGTTGATAAGTTATATTAAATTCCGTTCCAGTTTTTGGTTGCTATTATGTTTTTTCAGTGTTTTGTTGGGATTTATTTCTGTTCCATATGGCATCAATGGCTATAATCTGGCTTTTGTTTCACATGGGACAATTTAAGTATTATTACCTGAAGTGCCATGGTCAAAACATGTTACTTAAGCACTTAGGCACTATGAATGAGATATATGTATATCTATGTATATATATATATGGAGATAACTGGAGATAGAAAAAAACAACATTGGCACAAAGGAAAAATTGGCTTTTAAACAAAGCCATAGATATACCATATCTAGGGTACAGAGTATATCTAACTCCATGTGTACCATGCAAGATATGATATATCTATGTAGTTAGCTAAGTTGCTTGACAAAGCCTGTGAAGTATAGAGATACCCTCTGGTAAACTACCATAGCTATTGAAAATTGCCATTTATAGTGAGTTTTCCTATTGAAAATTGTGATATTCCATAGTTATGTTAGTTTACCAGAGGGTACCTAGCATACATGAATATGATAGGGGTAAAACAAAAAAGGCTCGGGATGAAAAGCAGCAACCAATTTCAACCACAGATGGATGAGATGGTTCCAACAGTTGGGCCACTGTGAGGATATGTTTCACTATGTTTCACCACTTCACATGTTATCCACTTCAGGATCACTATAGAGACATACATCGACTTATGGGATTTTGCAATGTTACATGTTGCATATATATATACATACATGCTTGTGTATTTACCAGCCAACATGGTATTTAGATGATGGGGCTGCCTCGTTGCAGATGTATACAATGTATACGTGTTTGAACACATGCATTTAACATGAGAAAATGGTGGGAATCATCTCATCATCATCCCGGAAACGTCGGGGGATGGATAACGAAGCTGGCTTTCACATGATCCTATTGTTGGTTGTGGTTTTGAACCAGGAAAATAAAGTGGCAGTCTATATTCAACTATCCCTGGAATCCCTGGCACACAGTTTAGCACCACTTTTATGCAGATTATGGACTTTTATATGCCAACTGGACCATTCGTTCTTCCAATAAAACCTATCTGACATATATCCCGAAATGTGGACAAATTCGAACCTACTGAGTTGCTGAGTTTTATTCGACATGTCCCTCCTTCGCAGCCCAAGGACGATGAGAAGTCCGCCAAAGACCCGTCCGCCCCTCCCTCCCCTGCCCCGGAAAATCAGCCGAGAAAGATCAAATGGAAAGGCGCATATGGGCCTGGATCAGCTGCACCGTGTCCCAAATATATGACATTATATCACCATAGATATAATATTTTATATATATATATACATAAAATAACATTAACACACACATTTGTATTTACACATATGCAAACCCCCCTTGAAACCATAACTTCTGGGGGATGTTGAATATTGGGGATGGGATTCTGATGATGGTCACAGCGGAATTTCCCACTCCATGATTTCCCATTGCCATGGCTGATTACCAGCGGGAGTTTTAATCCTGCATTTCAAGGTAAAACTCGATTTTTCTAACTTCAATTTTTCCTTTACAAATCAATCTATTGAGTGGTAAAATCGTCCAACCACAGATGTGTTTTTTTGGTTGGTTTGAGGCCACGGATTCTATCGTGATTGTGTGATATCATGAGATTTTGGGCGACCCCAAAGTGACAATCTGACTTCTTTTGGACATTGCACCATTTCCGATTTCCTGGATTTATCACTTGTTACAGTCTTGTTACATGGAGGACGTGCTACATGAATTCTATCTTTCTGAAATGCACCTTTTCCATGCTGAAACCGTGGTTTCATGTGTTTTTTCATGTCTATATGTATATGTATATGCATATGTATGTGTATGTGTATGTGTATGTGTACATATATATGTATATGTACATATATATGTATATGCATATGTATATGTATTTGTACAGTACACACACATATATATATATACATATATAACCAGCAACGTGTGATATTTGGGTATATTGTGCCTCTGTCTCGTTTTTGTGACGCTAAAATCTTCCAAAAAGTGGCTTGTGTTTGGTGCTGACACCATTGCTCACGGTGCAACAGTGCAACTCACCCTTTTTCTGGATGTTTTTGCAGATGTTCCTTTCATCAAAGTCTGAGAATGTTGGGTTTCTGAGCGTTGTGCTTGAAGAGAAGAATTCATCAGCCTGAAATACATCCGAAATACGACCATTTCAGATGATCCCTGTATTTCCGCCAGAACCTGGCTCACTGATGGGATGATTCACAATGAACCGTTCGTAATCCTTCTTCATTACATTTACCATATCAAAATCAACCGAAATCAAGTAATTAATAAACATCACCATTAGCTATGAATATCTATTCATCATATTCACAAAAAAACACCATTAATAACAATCAATAAAAATCCAGCAAATCAATCATGAGAATATTAACAGTTCTTAAATCATTGACTATATGATTCACCATTCACCATTAACCAAACCTGTTCCAACTCAGATGTGCATGCCAAAGATGCTCCACAGGTGGTTCCTTGCACGTTTGGCCCGTACTTGGTGACCATCGCTGCTTGTTTCGTGCCGTGGTACGTGGGCTTTTTGATCCCTACAACACAGTGCCACGGGATAGTCGTGGCGAGCCACTGGCCAAAGTGGCTGCGGCCATAGAAACCAGACACGCGGAGTCTGGTCGTTGATTCAGTGACTTTGGAGGCTAAAAAACCCCTTGGAAAAATATGAAGAAACAATAAGAAACATGATGGATTATGATGGATTCATATAGATTCAATGAATTTCAATGAGGATTTCAGTGGATTTTCAGGATGCCACTGATCCAATTTCTTGGGATTTCTCGATGCTCGATGTCACCGATTTCACCCAAAAACCCCCCAGGATTTGGTCCGGAAAGCGCTCTGCGATCACATGCAGCTCAACAAAGCTCTGGTTGAACCCTCCATAGAACGGCCCGGCGATGCGCCTCGAATTGTAAGTATTGCACTCGGCTTGGGAGGCCATCGGCTGTTGTATGTTAAGTAACCCTTTAGGAATATAGGGTGATGGGTATGTGATGGGGGAGTTTAAAGCTGTTTCAATGGTGTATATATATATATATACATATTTGTTGCATCATTCAGTGGGTATAGTCATTTGGTGATCTCCCATGAATGGAAGGTCAACCAGTGCTTTCAAAGTTGTTTTGATGATAAACATAAATCGTCCTGGAAAAACTCGTGTTTTTTTAGGCACGGGAAACTTTCGTTTTAAAGAGGAGTTCCTTTGGGAACCAGAGGCGCGCTGTGTTCCTCAACAATAACTTTGGAGGTCCACGATGGGTATGTATATATATATGTGTGTGTGTGTGAAAATATATAGATATACGCTATATCATTGGCATATCATGTATGATCGCAGAATGGCGTTCATCGATATTTTCATATATGTGTTTCTAGTTTTGCCATCGGACCAGGATCCCAATTGACTCTATCTTTTGGAGCTGGTCACGTACCAACCAGATCGCTATCAACATCAACCAATGATCAACCCATATCCAAACGAGCCATTAAAGACACTTTTGATCACTTTTGTTGGTCTGTCATTACAGACGCATAATTTCACTTATATAGAACATCACGATACTTCATGTGTTTTCCAAATGAAAAACAGATTCGTACAGTAGAATCCAAAAAAATAAGTAATTGTGATGTTCCAACTTCGCATTATCAGGCTGATCAGGCTTAAATTTTAACAGATTTGCATTGCTTTACCATAAATTTACACTAAATGTATCTAAATGTGTGTTTGTTCATATTTGAGAGCCAGTGGCAGGTGGGACTCGGGATATCTCTTTTGTTTTTTTCGCACGGCCTTGATCCAAACCAAAAATCATCGACAGATATTCTGTAGCCCTATTAATTCATCATCATCATCATCATCATCATCATCCCATTCAGGTTGTTTTCTGTAAATTCCTGATCTCAGGATTACCCTCTTTTAAGCTTATTTACCAGACATATTTCCAATATTCAACCATAACTTTCACCAATTGAAGTAGTTCCGTACTTCAAACATGTTAAAACACAATGAAAAATCCATCCCCCATTGCCATCATTGCCATCTTTTCAGGCCACGAAATACATCCAATCCATGCGCAGTCCAACGACTTGGGCGGATCAGATCTGTACCAAGTTCCTGCCAGATGTGATCAAGTGCCTGTTGTCCTGGATCATCGTGGATCATTCGGGCGGAGTTTGAGAATTTTTAGGCCTGACCGGGAAAAAATGTCGATATCTATAGGTATATAATGTATTTAAATGTAGTCTTATATAATATACTATATTTATATTTGTATATGTATATATACTACCTTTTATGATATGTTAAACAAAGATTTCGCTCCATATAATTTTGAATATGGTTGATTTTATCGATTTGTTGTATGTTGTAGGTCTTCGGCAAGATCCATCAGCGGATTTGGAAACGAAACAGCCGATCGGGCGGACACCATTTATGTCGCAAATCGTGACCAAAATCAGCAAAAACCATGGGTTTTGCATGGTTTTGCCATATTTTTCTGGGGGTTGCCTCACAACTGAGGTGCCCCATTCATGTGCAAGCCTGGAACCGAGAAAAGAAACGCCTCTATGATGTTGGTTTGCATCTTCCGAGTCAAGGAACGGATGAAAAGCACCTCCGCTGCAGCTGTTGAATTTTCAGGGTATCAACTTCAAAATTGGTTGAAATATGTGGTCAAAACAGGGAAGCAAAATGAAGCAAAGATAGTGTGAAAACATAGAATTGTGACATAGAACTTCAGAATTCAGATAGTGCAAAGATATGCTATTTATGCAATCTCACCTCTCCTATTAATAAACCACCCAAAAAAAAAATATCCCAATACGTGAGCAAGCCCGCAAAGCTCAGCAGTAAGATTTTTGGGATATGGACGAAAGAAATGATCGTTTTTCTTTGGTAGTGAGGAATCCCTACATAACACACGTTTAGACCCAGAAAACTACGAGGTATTTGTGGTTGTTTGGGCTTCCAGGAAACATATGAGATTTGTTTGCTGCTCAGGACCAGTGAAAATCATTGACCATGTGGGGATGTGGGGTAGGCACCATTTATATAGGCTATTTGCTGTTAGCTTATAAGTTGTACCACACTAAAAACATGTTTTATCTCAAGATATCTTAGAAACAGGGGAATGAACAAGAAAAATCAATTTTGATACTCGAGCAGTCTAGTGTTTGTATTGTTGCAACCGGCCAGTAGATTTTCCCTTCACTCATTTCCTTGACCATGGGTGTTTCACAACAAACATGTTGCTTTAAAGCCCCATGTTGTGACGATTGATCCCAGTATCAACCTGTAGAATAGAATTCCTTAAGCACCAAGCAGCTTGAAATAAACCAGTTGCAACGAGGTTTGCAGCATTTTGCAGCTGTTACTTGGGACCTCAACCTGACTTGAAACTGACAAGCTACTGAACACGGTACGAACTTGGTGCGAAATTGTGTGTTCGAATGCTTTAAACCAATTTAAACCATTTATACACACCATGTAAACTTCAGAAGTTGCTTGAAAAGCCGAGGAGAGGCACCATTTTTCTCTACTACAACGGCCGGTCACATGGCTTCAAGTCCCGCTAACCGCAGCTAACCTCCGGTTAAGAAATGGATAGATCGGAGCCCCTGCGGATTTTTTTTTGGGGGGGGTTGGAATTCGGTTGGAAATGTTCTTGTGTTTTGTTTGAATTTCATGGAGCGTGGGGCGAGGAGTTAGTGAAGCTAGTGATGATAATGGATGGGATGCGATTTGGTATCATTTGGTATCGTATTTGGTATCATTTTGAAGAGTGTCAGTTTGAAGAGTAGTAATTTAATTTATTCTTTGGGTTCATTTTGGTTCTCTGAATGAAACTGGGGTCATTTTGTTCAGCGTGGCATGTTTTCTTGTTGTCAGCCCAGGACTCACTACGAGCTGGTTTCTCAACAACAGATATTTAAGAGGCGATCGATGGAACATGAAACAGTCTCATCAGCATCCTCTGGATCATCTTCCATTGAGAAAACTTCAGACTTAAGAGCGGACAAAAAAGTCTGACCGGCCAAAGTTGCCATTCTGATTTCAGAGCCGCAAGGGACCAGAACGGTGGAAAAAAATGACAAAATGCATTGAAGATCTGCTCAATGGTTTTCTGCGCTTTTCTTGTGCGTAAATCCGCTGAAACTCACCAGGTACTCCGGTACTCCTAGGTACTCCTAAGAACCGGCGTGTCAACAGAGCCACAAACTCCAAAATGGGATCGGTCGGATAGGGGCTGTTCCCCGCCATGCACACCGTAGCCGGCGCCCAAATCTTGAATGGATTTGCCGGAGAAATGGTAAAATACCGTAAAATGGCCATACACATCCCAAAACTGCACAACTTTGATGCGGAAAAATGATAGACCAAGTGATTTTGGACGACCCCATGATACCAAACAGGCCATGACAGGCCCCTAGTGCTGCTAGTGCTAACCCCAGCCCCGCGTGCACTGAGGTTGTTTTTCTTGACCTTTCGAGACAGGTGGCTTTGCTGAGACAATGATCTTATGTTTCTGCCTATGGGAAGTGCAGCAGACATGGTGAATTTATGGGAAAGATGTTTTTGCAGGCCCATGTCAACAAATTCAAAGATGTGAGAAAGCTGATTGGTGAGGGTAGTGAAAATTAATCAAAAAAATGAAGGGGTTTAACAGAATTAATGCAAAGCAGCTTTTAAAAAAACAGTTGGTGAACCCTGTGGTTGCGGAGTAGATACATTTTCCTCAAACAGGCCAGATTTTTTTGTGTTTTCCGTTGCAGGACCTGATCTTCTATGGCTCAAGCATCAGAGTCATGAACTCCAATGATTCATTGGAATCCTATGGAACTGCAATGCTTAAGCTTTTCGAACATGTGGTTGATCGCATCTTTTTTTAAAACCCGTGCCACAAATATATCTGGACAAAACCTCAGAGTTTCGATTTTCCACAGCCAGAGCTTGAATGCCCATGACAAACCCCAAGCTGGAAGACATGTGGAAGGAAATCAAGGCTCTCAATGATGAGGACTCGAAGAATTTGTTTGGTGAAATTTAACGGAGGTTTGTGCATCAATCAGCTGATTTTGGGCAGGATTTTCTGAAGTTTAATCAAGAGGGGCCATTCTTGGGGTGCTAAAATCCCAATGTTTGTTGGGCCTGAACTTCCATTCTTGGCATTCTTGGCTACTTACTCTACGTAGTTTTTTTCATGTTACTTCATGTTACATCGCAGCAACAGACCAGCCTTGATCGCCGGACAGGACTTGAGCGCCTTAGCTCTCCTAATTCAAGAGGAGCATCAAGCGCGGCAACGTCCTGAGATCCAGGTCCATTTCCAAGGGATCAGTGGGGAACTCATTGAGAGCCGCAACTTGGAGGTGACTACTTGATGGTCTAGTGGAGATCTTGGGTTTTTTAAGATTTTCCGTGAATTCTTGATGTTTTGGTTGTCATTTGTCTGACGTTCCAGGTGATTTATGCACACGCACACACACTAGACAAGAATGGATCATTATATGATCCGGCAGGAACTGAATCCTGAAACATGCAGATTAGATATGAAACAACGAAATTAACAATGCAGGTACGTTTACACGGGTCCCGGGGGGGTGTCTTCGGTGGCCACCGACCCCCCCGGGACCCCGGTGGCCCCCTGCATTGTAATTAGAGTTAGAAAGGGAGAGGACAAAGGAAGAAAAAAGAGAGAAGTTTTACATCTATTTAGATGTTACACACACACACCCGGCCGGAGCCGGGTCAACCCTGAAAGGCAAGAGGAAGAAAAAAGCGGACACACGACGGGCAGACGGCCAAAACAGCGCAGGGGGGGGAGGGGAACAGACGGACCTCCAGAACCAACCTACACGGCGAAACGGACCTGACAAAAACAGCGCACACACCTAAACCCAACAACACGTTACGGAGAGGCACGCGGGGAAAGATTAGGGACCAATGGGGAACTAGTTGATGCCAGACAAAAACCAAAACAATTAATTTAAAAACAGGACCCAGTTCCTAGACCTACAGTTCGTGCGATTGTGCCACAACAGGCCCGTGTTCCAGTCAGCCACAAGGGCATAAAACGGCTTTCAAGTTCCATCGAATTAGGTGCACAACATGTTTCACCTCACCAGACAACCAAAAGGAAAAAGACCACACCTGAAAGACGTGTGCCTGCCTTTTCACAGTGTCTTGACATGATTTCGTGTAGCTGCAAAGGTTGCTGCAAAAAACGGAGGTTTCTGGCAGTTCGGCATGGCTTCACTTGACAGAGTGCAAAACACTAGGATCCCTGGGACCACAGGAGCCGCGGGACGTCTTCAAAGGTGCAAAACCGCAAGGCCAACTGTTGCGATTTACTTAGATGAATTACCAGCTTAAAATGTGCTAATTCGGCAGTCAGGTTAGTCGTCACTCACCCTAAAGAGGGTTGCCTCAAATGGCTCCATGGCACCATGTCGGAGCCACCATGGAAATCACACTAGACAAGAATGGATCATTATATGATCCGGCAGGAACTGAATCCTGAAACATGCAGATTAGATATGAAACAACGAAATTAACAATGCAGGTACGTTTACACGGGTCCCGGGGGGGTGTCTTCGGTGGCCACCGACCCCCCCGGGACCCCGGTGGCCCCCTGCATTGTAATTAGAGTTAGAAAGGGAGAGGACAAAGGAAGAAAAAAGAGAGAAGTTTTACATCTATTTAGATGTTACACACACACATATATATATATAGATGATATATTGAATAAATACATATAATATTATAATATGTATATGTCCAGCCACCTCACCAGAGCCTATCTTTTCTTATTGTTGCATGAATTTCACCTCTGCCATCGGCACACGAAACATTCAAGCAGAAATGAGACTTTGAACTCGCACCACTTTCTGGAAGAGAAACATTGAAAAAGAATCGAAAGGAAAGAAAAAACGAAAAAAAAACTGAGACTGACTGGTACCCCCATGGCCTCTGGAAAATTGTCTTTAATTTGTGCATGTTTTTTCGATGTATTCAAAGGACATCCGTTAATACAAGGGCATCCGCCAATACCTTCAGAAAATTGTGTATGTTATTTTGTTTTTGCTAGTATTTCGTTGTTTTTTTTACTTTTCCTCTTTTTGTTTGGATTGTTTCCCCCCTTGCTCTCTATTCAGTTGTTGAAGATATATTGGTGAAGGCTATTTTAGCATGTCATTTCAAGGTCAGACTGCATCATGCCTGATGGACGCTTCCCTTCACAGAGTGTCAGTGGAGGACCCTCCTAGCTTCATTGCTCCTTGAACCTGTGAAAAACTATATCACCCCACATAGCCCCACATAGAGACAGTGGTTATAACTACAAAAATAGACAATTACAAGGTGCAGACAGCCCTTGCCAGAACCGACCATAAATTTCCCAGCAAAGACAGGCAAAAAAATCAAAAAACTGTTTTACAGGTTATAGGGTTTACATTGTAAATCATTAAAGCTTCGTTTACCTTCATGGCGAATTGGTGGCAGTGATGGCCTTCCAGCTTCAGTCTACCAGAAGAAGAGAGGTTCTAAATGTAAAATCGACCTGAATGGGAGATGTTTGTTACTGTACATGTTTTTATAATGGGATCTAAAATATTCCTTGGTGGTTTTAGACGTCTTTAGACACTATACCTTTGTTTTGAAATACAATATTGCAACCATTTGCAACCCCAACAGCAGATTCCAAAAATGAATTGACCCAATAGAACACGAGGGTTTTCTGGGGTATCTTTCCTGTTTGGGGCAACGGATGTGTTCTTGTATTTGTGTTTCCTCTTGGGACGCCAATCCTTGACCATCCTTACCCATGAAGTTTGTTGTTTGGACGGGATGGGGCAGACCCATCGGATCAAACTACATCGGATTTTGGATGGTCTTTCCCCAAAAATGAGGCAAATTCAAAGCTTCTACGTCGACCATGGATTTGAAGCTGGCGATACTTCCAACCCTGCAGCTGCGTGGGGCCGGCATGGCTATTTCGCTGCAGAGTTTTGACTTGATCTGCCAGGAGACTTGGGAAGGTGGGATGCTGAACGGATCTTTTTTGAGGATGATTTTTGGTACAGTTGCGATGCCATCTTGATGGGTGTCGGTTATGTATGGTTATGTTTCATGATTGGGGCAGTGTAAAGTTCGGATCAGGACCTTGGGCCGCTTGGCCTCAAATATGTTTTGATCCTTCTGATGGCATTGTGGGTACTTGACGTTGTGGGCAACACGTGAGGATGAAGAGCACTGCAAAATGATCATGAAAATACATTTTCGGAATGGAACTGGTTTGGCACCTCCCCTTTGTGAATGCTGCATCAACAATTTCTGCAGAGTACAACTTAGTGCACCTCGTTTCTCCGTTTGGAGTTCGGCAAAAAACGGCTGGATTTACCATGGTGAAGGATGTTTTTGGGAGTCTCGAACCGAGATAGACATCGCAATTTCTCACAAGATTGCCGAATCGCGTGATATACGCCTTGGGTATTTGACAAGATTGGGGGTACCACTGGTGCCACATTTTTTTGATTGCAGCATGAATATGGAAACATCAAATTTGTGCGGTTCATAGCCATATGGTTCTAGGCTAGTTCTAGGTTATTGTAGAAATAGTAGGTTCCGATTGTCGGAAAACACCCAGCTGCCAATTAATTGCAACAGCCGCCATGACTGCGGATCGTTTTCCAAAAGGGAAACTGGTGGTTTTCAGATCTGTTTGGTAAGAGTTGTTTGATCTCTGTTGGAAAATCAGGTTCGTAAAATTGGTGATGGTTCCCCCCCAAAAGAAGCAACCATCGAGTTAGAACATGGAAATGCCAGCACAAAGCCTGCTGAAATTGGAATTTCATTGAAAACCGCCATATTTTAACAAATATAACACATGTTCTATACCAGGATGACTCTATAATATGTTATATTACTATTACATAATACTACATATATATCACTGCGCCACGGTCAAGTTTGTGTTTTTTGATGCTTTTTGCGATGAAGGGTGATGGTCAACAATCCATGAATAGGACGCCAACATGCAATTTAGAAAGAGTCCCTAAGTGGCTTTAGGCGTAGGCCATAGCCTATACCAATCAACTTGACCATGGCATGTATTTATCTCCTCTTTCCGCCAGTTCCCACTAGTGCCACCAGTGCAGGAGCGTATCTTGAAGCCTTCTGACTTGTTGGCTTCTTTGGGAGATGGCAACCAAATCATCCAAGTCGTTACTTGGCCATTTAATTACCTTTATTTACCTTGATTTATGTTTTTCAAGACAAAAGTGCCAGGGTTGAGCATCAAGACCTGGTTGATTTTCTATGTTCACAGCCATTTTTTGTGGTTCAGCAATCAACCCGTCAACACTATGCATGGGGGTGATGATCGTTTGTGGATCACATTCCCTACATATTGAGGATTTAGATGGATTTATCATAGCCCATGAAATGGCAATTCCCATGAAGCAACCACTAAAAATCAGGAGTTTTCAATGTGGCATTCCAGGCATTTCATGAGCAAAAAGATGGCATGCCGAAGTATCCGACAGCTTTGGATTTGCTCTTTGGATGTTTCCTTTCCATTTGTTCCAGCAAAAATGGTGCAAAAATTGGTTTATTTAAGCTTTCACACAGTGATGATATTCGTGATGCCATGTGGCTTTCCATGTGGCTTTCCATGGAAACAGGATGTTCCCATGGGAAGGTGATGCGACGTGATCCCATTCGACTCACACAGAAACTGAAATGGCCGAATATTTGGAGAGCGAGACGCCAGTTTCAGCTGTTTCAGTGCAGTTTTTCTTTCCGTTTTCTTTGGACTTTGTTGGATTCTGTTGGATTCTGTTGGATTTTTGCCATTTTGATGTAGTTTTTACATATTACCAATTGGTGGTTTCTCCAGTATTTTTGACCATGCCCGGGATCAGCCCTGTGGTTGTTTTGCTTCGGCACTAGGACGAAAGAGCGATCCTCCCTTGTCTCCGGAGTTCTTTGTGATCAAGTCCAGTCACTCGTTGAAAAAAGACACCAGGGTTGCCAGGGTTGGCATTTCCTCGGTTTGTTAACCTCTGGTAAACATACAAAAGACTATGGAAAATCATCATTTTTGATGGGTAAATTAACTATCAATGGTCATTTTCAATAGCCATGTTAGTTTACCAGAGGGTGACCTATAATTAAATCCTAATGGCACTTGATAAATGTCCAATGTTTAAACCATGATGCATGCCTGTTTCTATCCCCATTCGTCATAGTTCGCCATATGATTGGCAATTTTTGTTCACGTTCCCAATGGATAAAACCATGAGACATGCATATTATATAACATAGATGTATCTTGGGAATATGGTTCATTTTTTGGTAGCTTCTGAAGAAAATCGACAAGGAATAAGGGATCTAATCTGTAATCGCTGAACATTGGCCTTTGGTAATTCCACAATGGAAAAAAGGAAATTAGCAATCTAGTTCGATGATTTACTTATAACCACAACAAGACCATGATTTTAATAGGTAAATCAGTAAATCATCTACAAATGAAGCATGTTCATCCATTTTGGCATCTAAAATATCCAGAGAGATCCAAGGCCACAATGTGGTGATCAACGATGAGAAGCTCTTTCAGACGGAGGTGATTCGGAGCGGTGGACAGTTACTGTATCAGTTACGTTAGTTACATCGTAATAGGAATGTGCCTTTAGGTGTCCTAGGTGTCTCAAATATATCTATCCAAAAATATCCCACAAAAAATTGATGCGCCCCTCTGGCAAAACCGGTCACAGTTTGCGAACTGCGAAATCACCATGTCTTTTCGATAGGAATATCATTATGATTCAATCGTCGAACTAAAGAAAATATGCAATTTTCCATAGCTAAATTGCCATTGCATCCACGTGAATCGGACATCACTTGTCAAAAAATTGAATTCCGAAACATACGTGTACATTATGTGCATGTACATTGTATCATTGTATAGTGACTATAGTGTTTAACCATGTTAACATATGTTTAAGCTGGTTCTTTTTTTGCAGCCGCTTTGAAGTGACGGCCAACTTGGCCAGGATTCACAGCTATGGCGAGAGATCCAACCTGCTGGAAGTCTTTGGCAGGCGATTCTGACATCGGAGTTGTCCACTCGGCCAGCTGGCTCAACGCTGACGCTGGTGAACTCGGTGAACTCGGTGAACTCTGCATTGGATGTGCCAAGGCCCAACATGGCGATGTGCCAGTCGTTTGTTGTTGAAACATGTTGAAACTGGAAGATGGCGGCTCAGTGGTTTGCCAAAGCATTGGCTATCAAATTGCGGCCGCTGGAAGTCATTTTTTAGTGTCTTCCAGGTCTTCCATCTTAGTTTGCGGGGTGAACTTGTGCCTGTAAATGTGTGGAAACAGCGAAGTTCGCGCGATGTTTACACTGGCAATGAAAAAAAACTGACCAGGCAGTTACACTGCAGTTACATAGTTGCGGTATGTTGCGGTATTTCATGGGTTTCCCATGGTTTCCCATGGTTTCCCATGTCTTGGACCAGGCAATCTGGATGTGACTTGAGGTATCCTTGTTTGCCGACATGATGGATACAGGACGGATCTACCTTATGAAGCTGGGCGTCCAGATCCACAAACCACAACCGAATATGCCCACTTTTCGCACATTCGAAATGCCAAATTCAGCGATCACAACCTTTATTTTATCACATCGCCGGATTGCTCACCCTTGAAAAACGCAGGGGGTTTTGGTGGAGCAAATCATCACTTTCTGCGGAGATTTAATCAAGACTCGAATCTGGGACGTTCCAGATCTTGCAGATTAATGGTTAATCTTGGCGCAAGTTTGGTTTGATTTTCTATGGCTGCAGTGAATTTTCGAGATCTTTGGGCAGTTTTTTCAGGTGTAAGCTTGGCAATTATTGTTCACCATGAAGTCACGAAGGTTTTAATCATGATGTCTGGGATTGTCTGTGTGAGCTGCTCTGATCATTATTATAACATACATTCTTATTATTATTTTTTTAATTAGTATTATTATTTTTTATTATATATATATAATTAAACCAGTTGCCAAACGGTTCTGGGTCAAAGCACTACCATACTTCATGTCAAAATAGCTGGCATAGTGGGATATTCTTCCCCAGAAAACATTGGAAAAAAACATGTTCAACCGCATTAGGTGACACCACCCAATCTCTAAACCGGATGACTTTGGGTCTGTCTGAAAATGAGGCATTCCTAAATCTAATGGTGTTCTAATGGTCAATTATCATTTTCAGACACCGAAATCATGTTGGTCTCATATCCCCCTGACCTAATCCATTTTGATCCTTTAACTTCATCATATATGGAATATCTAGTGGTTAGGAAGGAGCAGTTCGGAGCTGTAGCCAGAAATTCCCCAGTAGCCATCGAGCCCGGCGACCAAATGCGAAGCTACAAAAAATGAGTTTTCCGACCACATGATAGAATTATGACTCCAATAACCAGGGAGTATGATACGTGTATGATGCTCATATCATCATATGTCATTATATATCATCATATGTGATCATATGTCATCATCTGTGAATCTATGATCATCTACCAATATATCAACAGAATTACCACCAATGTAGCACTATATAAATCAATATACAAGTACCCGGGCGAGCCGGCGGCGGAAGTTTCCCAAAAATAAATGACCTATAGTTCGAAGAAAAACCTGTCCCGACCGTGTCCTTCCCTGAACAAGCGGTTTTTTTTTCAGCGAGAGACGAAGCAAAGTCTTCACACTCCACACTTCACACTTCACACTCCACACTTCACACTTCACAGTCCGCACTTCACACTTCTCACTTCTCACTGCTTCCTTCACACTCCAAACCTCACACTTCACACTTCACACTGCGCTCTTCGCACTCCAAACTTAAACTTCACACTCCACACTTCACACTTCACATTCCACACTTCACACTTCTCACTTCCCACTGCTTCCTTCACACTTCACACTGCACTCTTCACGCCCCACACTTCACACTGCTCTAAACCTACGTGCAACAAAAAAACACTAGTGCCAAAATGGAGAAAAAATGCTAACAAATCCATTTCGCAGCCTTCATGCAGCCACTCCAATACGATTTACGAGATCCAGCTGCAAAAGACAATAGTATTACCAATGCAGCCACAGCACGAAGCAACCTTGACGCAGCCATTACAATGCGATCTGCAGAGGCGCAACGGCGTCGGAAATTGTAGCTCCAAAACCGGATTTCGACGCCAGAGCGAAAAAAAGACGATTTTGAAGCACTTTTTAAAAGGATTTTTAGAAGGAAAATCACTAGCGCCAAAATGGAGAAAATCTGCTAGCAAATCACTGTCGCAGCCTTCATGCAGCCACTCCAATACGATTTACGAAGTCCAGCTGCAAAAGACAATAGTATTACGAATGCAGCCAAAGCAGGAAGCAACCTTGACGCAGCCACTACAATGCGATCTGCAAAGACTGAGCGGCAAACCGCAATCCCATTTACATTGCGGGAACGATCCTACAGTTGCAAAGCAGAATGGAATTCCATCGGCAACTCATCCACCAGCAACACTTGCAATCCCATTTACATTGCGGGAACGATCCTACAGTTGCAAATCACAATGGAATTCCATCGGCAACTCATCCACCAGCACCACTTGCAATCCCATTTACATTGCGGGAACGATCCTACAGTTGCAAATCACAATGGAATTCTGTCGACCGCACATGCACGAAAAACAGGTGAAACCCCATTTACAATGCGGAACCGATCCGACCATGATCCGAGCATGATCCGACCACACACGAGACCGTCTCGCAACCGTCGCACCGCAGAGGTAGATCATCGAGGTTCGGGGACGGACTTTGTATGGAAAAACATAGGGTTTCGTGCATCTGCTATCTCTCAAAAACGCATTTCGTGCGAGACTTCCTTCAAAACTCCATCGGCAACTCCTCCACCAGCACCACTTGCAATGCCATTTGCATTGTGGGAACGATCCTAGAGTTGCAAATCACAATGGAATTCCATCGGCAACTCATCCACCAGCACCACTTGCAATCCCATTTACATTGCGGGAACGATCCGACAGTTGCAAATCACAATGGAATTCTGTCGACCGCACATGCACGAAAAACAGGTGAAACCCCATTTACAATGCGGAACCGATCCGAGCATGATCCGCCCATGATCCGACCACACCGACCACACACGAGACCGTCTCGCACCCGTCGCACCGCAGAGGTAGATCATCGAGGTTCGGGGACGGACTTTGTATGGAAAAACATAGGGTTTCGTGCATCTGCTATCTCTCAAAAACGCATTTCGTGCGAGACTTCCTTCAAAACTCCATCGGCAACTCCTCCACCAGCACCACTTGCAATGCCATTCTAACTCTTTCTTTGACTAACTCTTTCCCTGACATTCTAAAAGTTACAATTAACTCTGTCCCTAACTAACTCTTTCCCCTCTTTCCCTGACAGTCTAAAAGTTCCAATTAACTCTTTCCCTAACTAACTCTTTCCCTCATTAACTCTTCCTTTGACTAACTCTTTCCCTGACAGTCAAAGTTACAATTAACTCTTTCCCTAACTAACTCTTTCCCTCACTAACTCTTTCTTTGACTAACTCTTTCCCTTACATTCTAAGGTTCTTTGACTAACTCTTTCTCTGACTTTCTAAAGAGTCCGTAACACGGAAGTTTCTCCCCTAAACTTCCTTTGATCACCAATAGTTCCTCACCAATAGTTCATGGGCGTTCACATCTGAACTCCCAGGATTGAGGAGGATGGGATTTGGGACGCCTTGCAGCCCTGGTCCAACACTCGGCCCTGGTCCGACACGAGCCCCGAGCCGCTGGACGTTCTGGTGGCGTCGGTGACGGAGACCAAGGAGGTTTTGCCCCTGGTGGCACGCTTTAGGCGGGGACAACCGGGAAAACCACAGGGAAAATTGGGAAAACTGGGACAACTCTCTGGAAAAAACTATGAAAAACCGAGATTTAGATCCATTTTAGATTGGTATAGGCCAGTATAGGCTGCTGAGTTTGGCATTTAGCACTTGGAAGCCTAATCTCAATGATCAACCAACAGATGATGCCAACACCGTTGCGGGGGTTGTGACTCCCCGATTAGACGCGCTCAAGATTCATTGATCCGGGGTTGACATCAAAAATCATCAGAAACCACCAAGTTCGGAACGAACATGGTTGAGCTTACAATGATGACCCAGCAATGTTTAGCCATTTATATCCCAATAATGTCCTATCTTTTCCAATATACCTAGTAACTAGGGTGACAGCATGTGACGACTTTGAAACAACAGCCCTGTGATGGAAGTAGGAACTGCTGATGAGCTGCAACATGCTGGACATGTTACCATCTTTCCGTTCTTTCCAGGCTTTGAGGCGTCGGAGCTATCTGATGACCCGTTGCTCACATAAAAACAGTCCCGGATGGTCTTTCTCAAAGAATTGCTTTCAAAGGACACTGGTATTTTCAGATTTCTCTTGCAGGAAACTAGGAAACCCTAAGGTTTGGAAAATAAATTTTGTTTTCGGACAACATTCATTCCTTGGAAAAACCAAGTTCTTGTTCTAAGGTTATTGCCTCGTTTTGTTTGTACACATATGTTCCTAACCCAAAAAATTGACAAAACATGTAGAAATGCGTTTTTTGTTATGATTTTGAATGTAAATAGGTGGTAAATCCATTGGTTTATCATCATCCTCCCTGTTATTTGATTGTCATCCAGATGATGTTGTTTTTTTATCTCGTGCGCAAGGCAGTATCTTCACGAGAATTCCAGGGTGATTTTAGCTACCACCGCAGTGCGTGTTGAATTTCCAGAGGCTCCTTGGTTGGGGGTCCCTTTCCATCTGAGGGTTGTACCATGTACTGAGTGAAATAGCGAATCAACCTTAGGGGATGGTTTATTATTGGGTTTGCCGGCTGATCTCCTTAAGCATTTTTTTTTACCGGTGATGTTTTTTCCATGTGTTACATGGATGATCCAAGCGGTAGAGTATTCACATTCCCTATGAAATGGAAAGCGAAAGTGCTTAGATTTAGAGTTTCCCAACCACATGATAGGTTGTAAGGGATATTTTTGGAGGGGAGACGGATTCAACCGAATATGGGTTTCAAGCACCAAACATGGTGATACAATCGATCTTCATTGGGTATTAACTATTAACCCATTCAATTTTGAAATAACCAGTTGAAGTCAGTTGAATCATTGAATATCATTTGTTTTTTGTCGGTTTTGTCATGTTTTGTCCTTGCTTAAGCGAACTCAACAGCCATTAAATCCATTCGATTCCCCCCAAGTTTTCTGAAAACCGAGGTCTTCTTCAACGAGTGCGTCAAGGAGTTGCGTAGCGCGGGGCTAAAACCTTTGGAAATGCTGACTTTGGAACCCCACTTTAGTGGCAGTGCTGTCATTGTAGCAGAGAACGAGAAACTTGGATTGAAGATGATTGTTTTAAGTGAAAAACTCTGATTTTTTGTTGTTTCAGGACTTTTTTCTTGATATCCCATCCTAATATTCAACACTCATTCTATGTTCCCAAAGCGGTCTTATCCCCTGATGGTGGGGGTCACTTGGGGTGTTCAATATTCACCGGAGGGGATTTTGAAACATGACTGGAGGGTATCCTCCTGTGCCTAAGGAAGAGACCTGCAGGATCGATGTGAGTGCCGGGTTCACGTTTTCACCACTCGCAGGTCTGGAAAAACACCACTCGATGGTACCCTTCAACCCGGCTGGCCATAATTTAGGGGGTATACCGATGTATACCGATGTATACCGTATACCTCATGTTCACACCCAAGTGCACTACATATATCTGATATATCTGATCTATCTCATTTTTTGCCCATAAATGGTGAACGAAAACCGAGGGGAACCCGAAGGATTCCGGAAAGATCACCTCGGCATTTGTTTGTGTCCAATTTGATCATTCACATGGCCAAAACATGGCACTGGCACTATGCCAGGATGGGCGGGGAATTTCTCCGCACATTCTTGACAGAGAGGACTGGAATTCGGGTAAACCCTGACGTGGTTCAGAAACTAGAACAACATCTTTCCGAATCAAGTGGAGTAAGCAGTGCCCAAGTGCAGCATGCCAGAAATGAATTGAGATTATCTACAGAAATCTACAGTATGATCTGACCTTGCAAGGTGTTCACCAGAACAGGCTTGTGTTGGTCTGAGGATGTTTGAGGCACACCAGTAGACTCACAGATTTCATTCCCTGCCATTCACTGTCAAGGGTTCAGCTTGGATTTGTATCACTTACAGAAACCCAAAAATTGTTGTTGTTGTTGTTGTTGTTGCTGCTGCTGCTGTTGCTGTTGCTGTTGTTGTAGTAGTTGTACTAGTTGTACTAGTTGTAGTAGTTGTAGTAGTTGTAGTAGTGTAGCTGAAGTTGTAGTTGAAGTTGTAGTTGAAGTGTAGCTGTAGTGTAGCTGTAGTGTAGCTGAAGTTGTAGTTGTAGTTGCAGCTGCAGTTGCGATTGCAGTTGTAGTGCAGTTGTAGTAGTTGTTGCAGTTGTTGCAGTTGTTGCAGTTGCACCTGCAGTTGTAGTTGTAGTGGCCGTTGCAATTGCAGTTGTAGTTGTAGTACTTGTTGAGGTTGCAGTTGTAGTTGAAGTGTAGTTGAAGTTGTATTTGTGGTTGTAGCTGTAGTTCTTGTAGTTGAAGAGTAGTTGTAGCGGTAAGGTAGTTGTAGTTGTAGTTGAAATTCTAGTTGTAGTGTGGTGTAGTGCAGATGCAGTTGTCTATCTATCTGTCTACCTAGGTATTTGTTATCTATTAATTTCTCTTTCTGTTTATCTATCTATCTATCCATCTATCTAATCTAACCTAATCCCATCTAATCTAAGCTAATCTAATCTAATTATCGATCGATCTATCTATCTATATCTATCTGGAAGTTTGAAAATGATGCAATCCTGCGAGACTTCCTCAATTTGGAACTTGGCAACATCAAAAACGAGACAATTCTGCGAGACTTCCTCAAATTTTGAACTTGACAACATGAAAATCGAAGCAAGTCTACGAGGCGTCCTCAACTTTCGAAGTTGACAACGTCAAAAACGAAGCTGTTCTGCGAGACCTCCTCATTTTTCAATCTTGACAACATCAAAAACGCAACAATTCTGCGAGACTTCCTTCAAAAATGGAAAGCTAAGTGCAGAGCTGACGGCCTCGTATCAATGCATTTTACGGTTTTTCCACTCCGTTTGTCTAAAGTGCTGCGCCCGCCACGAAGAAGTGATGCCAGGTCATACGAAGTGCTGCACCTATCACGCAAAATCATCTTAGCATACCTGGAGATTTGATGCTCCGAAATGCAACCGTTCTCAGGAAATCAGCGCCCTGACCTCCGAACATCTCTGATGAACATGTCTCTTGTACCGCCCCTGCGACGCGAAATTCATCTTTCCAGATCCTCCTCAAAAGTCCCACGCCTGCTATCGTGTTTGGAAATGCTACAAAACCATCACGTTTTGCTCACTTTTGACAAGGTGCAAAATCCCTTGCGCCTGCCACGCAGAACGACGCTTCAACATACAAAAGTGGCGCGTACATGTGGTGTTTTGTTCATTTTGACTTGGAAATGTGCTTCGCGCCACTGGTGCGCACTTTTTCGACATCTCAACTTCTAAAAGTGCTCCGAAGCTGAGGTCGTTTGTACATTTTGACTTCGAAATGTACTTCGTGCCACAACGGCGTGCACTTTTTCGACATCTAAACTTTTAAAGGTGCTCCGGAGCTGGGGTGCTTTGTACATTTTGACTTGCAAATGTGCTTATCCACAACGGCGTGCAACTTTTCATCTCTCATCTGACCACATGGCTCCGCACCCACCGCTTTAGCGCGCCTACTTTTCGACCTTCCCGAGCCACAAATCATTGGAAAAACGCAGTGTTTAGCGACTTTCCTACCTTTTCGCGCGCCTGGACCTTCTTTCTTCTCACTCTTTCTCTTTTTGATCTTATTTCTTCTTCTCTTCTCTTCTCTGACTCTTCCCATCTCTGCTTTTCATCTGTCCATATTGTCGGAAGTTTGACTTCTAAACTTCCTTCGGCTATCCATACACAATGATCACAGTGACTGAAATTTGGGAACTGTGGATTTCACATGTGTTTCAAAGATATTTTTCTGGATCTTTTGGCGTCAGGTTTTGAATCTGTTGGCAGAGATTGGCACCAAAGAAGTGGTGAAGAACGGCAAATTCAGCCTGCCAGGCGGGATAACTTGGTGTCAAACCCTGGAATTCTGATTTCTTGTTTTGATGGCCAATTTCGGAAAGAAATTTTATCGTACTTGGGGCCCAGAGGTTGGTAAGCGCCAAAATCCTTTTTGGCGCCTTATTTTGATTCGTAGCCAAGGTTTCCAATCTGATATGGTTCATAGGCAAAACCCTCGACTTGTAAAATTGGTTCTGCATCATGATTGCAGCTCAGTTCCTAGAAAGCATGTGTAGGCGTTCCTTTTGACCAGCCCACTGGCACATGATAAGTCAGGTTTTCGCTGCCAGGTTTGGAGCAGGCCTTGCCATGATCAAGACACGCAAGAAGAAGGCAACCAAAGGCGGGTTGGTTTTCTTGATATTTTTTGGGAGGAACAGGATCCAGCTCCCAAAAATTGGACGGGTGGGATAGATGGCATTGGATCTTTTTGTTTTTGGAGAGTTGGAATGGGCATGTTTTTGGAATGAGAGTTCAATGTGCGGCCAATTGATGGTAGGGATTCGCATTTTTTTGGATTTTCGCATTGCATTTGGCCAATTTTACCCCCCACGTGCCAAATGGGTTCTGCAAATACTGATCAGAAAAATCATACAGATTCTGCCATTCTGCATCAAAAATCTTGCGGCAAACCCAATGCCACAACCAGCTACCATTTGGGGATGGTAAACATGCCACCCATTTTCGATGATTTTTTTAAAGTTTGGGCAGTTTTTGGCATTGGATGCAGGTGGCACCAGGATGGTGTTCGGAAAGGAAGTGAAGGTGAAGCCCCAGCCCGCAAAGACCGTTGTGAAGGCCTTTCCTGTGAAGGTTCTGAAGGACTCCATCTAAGGCAGTTTCCAGCAGTTTGACGATTTTTATGGGTTTGCTTTTGGGATGAAACGGGCCGCCATATTTTTTGGGGTTGATCTGAATCACCAGCTATCGCCATCAAAGCATCGACCCGATTTATGCCATGCCATGTTCCCATTTTTGTGTGGGTTGAAACTTTACATGTTCTTGATTCCTTGAAGCTCCATCGGTTTTAGATGCCCATTTAACATATTTTAAAACCATGTGGGAATTTGGGTGTCACAATGCCACTTCAATGCCGGGTCTTTGATTTTCAGGCTCTTCCTCAGGTCCCTAGAAATCAGCCAGAAATGGGTTACGGTGCCCCACACATGCGAAACATGGCGCTGGGATATGCGTATCAATGAAAATGGAAGATGTTCCATGATGTTCCATTGTCAGATTTGTCAGTTTGAATCCCAAAATCGCGGAGAAAATTGATAATTATCAACAAAGTGTTTCGTGCGTTTTGGACCATCACCACATGGAGGCTGGAAATAGTGCTACCCCATTGCATCCAAACGGTTGATCATCGGTTTTCTCGGTCTACCGTGCCCCATTTTCACACCGAATTGGGAAGGATAAGACCCTGGTGGTTTTGAAGTGGCGGGAGCCTGTCCTGAGGCGTTAAGTTCACTACAAACATCATCGGCTACCTGAGTTCATCACTTCATTTTATAGTTTTTATATGAATCTACCATTTTTTTTCTTGGAAAATTGTCTTTTTCGGGATTTGGCTGCCGGTTTCCGCGATTCTTTGATTTCATCCCTACCAACACGTGGGGAAACCATACCACTCACATCCACCCCGGACTGAACAGTTTGCTGCATTCTTGGGCCGGGCAGCAGCCACATGGGACTGCTAAGGTACCACCCTCATCATTGGAAACTGCGTGGAGTTTGCTTGGTGGCACAGGTGGATCATGTGTCATTTTTCGGCATAAAAAATGCCTAGCAGACTGGTTAGGTTATGATCTATGGTCACCCCAGGAAGGTTGAGAAGTAAAATTTGATTGAAAGTGGTAAACAAACAAGTTGTCTATCTTTTTTGGGATTATTATAGACTATAATGGATTTGGTTTTGCCAGATTACAATGGAGGACATAGCGTCACATTAAAACTACTGAAGCCACACCCCTCTTTGGGGGATCTGACTAGCCACGGATAAGTCTGTATCCCAAGGAGAGTTCGTAGTGATGGTGTCAAGGTGTTTTTCTCCAAATTTGATGGGAATGGTGATTTCCACTTCAAACTTTGGGGTTACATTCCTACCAACAAGGATTGGTTTGAAAGGATTCTGCCATCTGCTCAGGCTTCCTCAAACAATGTCTGTGTGACTCATCAGCCCGCATTCAACCCATGATTTTCTTGAATTTCATGTTCTGATTCAAGTTGCAAAAGTTCCAAAGAAATATATTATATATATATTGTATATAATCTTATGTTCTATAGCAATATAGAATTCAATTTGCACTTCCTGATCATGAGTAATAGATAGGAAGGCCAATTGCCAAGTTTTTTTGTGTGTCCATCCGATTTGCATTTTTTGAAGTTTCCATTCATGCTGGATGGCCGTTGCTTTGTGGGTTGGGTGACCCTTGAGGCTTTCACATGAAGCGGCTGCGACAACCTCATATCACCCGTGTTGATCTGTTGTTCATTTTTAAGGACGCCGCACTTGTGGTACCCATATTCCTTTGTTAGAACCCCGTTATTTGGATTTTTGTGTGTGTGAGAAGCCCTTCAAAATGCCAACCGGACAGGTGGAGTGAGGAGCAGAATTCAGACACGGCTTGGCCTGCAGCGTACAGTGGCCATGGTATAAAAACACGTTCTGGGTTGTTTTTAAGGCAGCCACAGAAACAGATAGAAAGGTTTTCAAAATCCCACAAGCATTGGTTTTGGCACAACATGATCTGATGCCGAAATGTCTATTTACATTATGCGGTAATGCATGTGTCTGCCTTGGGGAACAATCCCAATTTGATGCAGCGTTGCAACATCAAAGTGCAGAATGGAACAATGACAGCTGACAACCATTTGATTTTTGAACGATGTAAGTTTTAAGACTTTGAGAAAACATTTAAAATTACAGAGGTTCCTTTGAACTTAAGCGAAAGAGTTTAACAAAATAGATTAATGTTTAGCTACAAAGTTGTAATATTGGATCAGTTAGTATTGCAAATCTAGCCGTGGCCGGTGGCGAAAAGCGCCAGCCATTCCCCTGCTAAGTTTCAGTAAGTTGCCATGTTCATTCAGAAAATAGGGCGATCTCAATAGATCCCCATCGACTCCATATTAGTGGCACCCTGAAGCAGCATTTGAACAGGTTAAATGTTAAATGGTGACATTTACCATCATTCTAAGGTCAGAGTTTACCAACCAACTAATCACAGGTATCAATTATTCTATATAATGTTTTTTCATTCATTCCCCACATGTTGGTACTTCAAACCCCATATTTTTTGATGTTTCAAAAGGGATGCCTTTGCAGACGGCTCAAGCCGAGCTACACCACTTGGATTGGAGGAAAAGAACTTGATTCGATCGATCTGAGTAATTGCTGGGGTAAATGTAAAAAGAAATGCCAGCCAAACACATTTAGAGTTGGTATTTCAGCATGCAAAATTGGGTGAGTTTAAGTTGTTGGTAGGTGGATTCTCCAACAGAAACGAAGAGAATCAAAGATAACAATGCCCTCAGGGAGTCAGCACCATGATTTTTGGCCCCTTCTTGTTGATCGAAGACTTTCATTTTTGAGTGAAACTGGGACTCAGGTGTTTTTGTTTATGGTTGATATCCCTGATATCCCCATGAATCATGGTATCACTGCAAGGTGATACCATCCTGAAGGCGTGTTTCCATTCTCAAATCTTTGCTGTTTTTCCTAACACCCACAGAATTCAGGCATTGGTTCTTTCTCAGAGTGATTTTTTCCAACTTGGATCACCAGGACATGTCTCCCAAGGGTAGGCCAAAATGCACTGTCGCTAGAAGAAAGCAATCTACGCGACAGGGAAATTCAAGAGAAGAAGATCTTGGTGGAGCAATGTGTGGAATTTCCTCGGAGAAAATAAACTGTTTTCATGGTCAACGCAGCGGTGACGGGTTCAGTTCCAGTGACTTGGCGGTATGGTGATTCAGCTTATTTAAGGCTTATTTGATGGGTCAGGATCGTTGTTGTTTTTGATTCTTGAAGTGACATCAAAAAAATCCCTGAAATCACGCCAGTTGAATTTTCCGGCATTGAAATGAACTTCAAAACCCAGTGTTTGCGGTTCGACTTTGGGTTTCAAAGGAATGTATAGGTTTGCAAGGCCCACCCTCGGTTTCCGCTAAGCAATGCTACTTTAAGAGTTCGAGGTATACTGATTTTCGAAGAAACCACAATGCATATGGTGGTTATTTGTCCCCAGCGCATATCTTCGTCAAAAAGTTGGTCGGCAACTCATTTGGGCCCATCAACCTCCTCAGAGCTGGTTATATTCCGAATAAATCCTCATTACATCACCATGTTAATTCCATTCGCAAATCCCTATGATCCCCCCATGATATACACCGGAGCCCAAGCTAACTTAGGGTTTCACAGCGCTATCTAATGAAACATTTGGAACTCCAAAGGCTTCAAGAAGCCGCAGGCGTGGGTGGGGGTATGTTTTTTCGTTGTACACTTCAGGTTTTTTACTTGCACATTTCAGAAAACATATTGCGTGTGATTTCTTTAGAGATTTCTAGAAATATCATCAGCATTATAACTAGCATTCTTGTTCTCATTATTCTGACGATGATTTTTTCCGAAAAGATACATCCCAAACCTAAGCATCAATATTTGGGATCTGACATGATCTGTAAGGTTTTGTCTGAAAATTAGCTATCCATATAATTCCCAAATAACCCATCAACTGCAAGGGAAAGTGATGACAAAGCGATGTATACCGTGGGTTGGTCAAAGTTCCACTCTGCAACAAACAGTTAGCCATGACAGGAGCAGGGCAAACCGTTGGAAGCCCCAAAACTCCATGGACATTTGGTTCCATTTTGATGAGAACCCCATTATAGCTGATTAATGTTGATTATATCCCCATTTTAATCCCATTTCATCACCATGACACCTGATTAAGTCATACACTTTCTTAATCAGACTTCCCAATCAAAAAATATCAAAAATCCCTTTTCTTCACCGTTCTCCTCCGTTCTTTTGGCCCTAAACCCACCATTTTCCCATGTTTTCCAGGCCATGACCCGCGAAGCTTCTGTCTCCGAGTTGACAGGTGCCGGGGATGACCAAGAGATTGCCAAACATGAGGAAATCACCTATTTTTTCGAACATGTTTAACCAATTTTAAGCAGCAAGAATGGGAAGGCGAGTTTTTTGAATCGCCCTTTAGTAACATCCCTCTTTTTTTCACATCTCGACCTTGAGAAGAGGTGATTATCAGTTGATGTTTTAAATGAAAGTAGTGTTGCCCCTGTTTGGCAGTGTCTTTTTTGTTGGAAGGAGGGTTGTATGGATGCCAATCTTCGCAGTTGGTATAGGATTGAGGCCGACGTTTGGATTTCTACATTGGATTCTGTCATCCCCACCAAAGCCCATCAGAACAACATCGCCAGAGATGAGCTGAGTATAGCTCAGAGACTGGAAGTGGAGATAGTTTCCTGATACCCAAAAGATTCCCCGGAGAAGAAGTGATTGAAAACCAAACATCAGCATCAAAAATATGGGTTTCACACAACCAGAGGAAGAACAACCCCCAAATTTGATGGTTTCAACAGGGAAAACGATGAAACGATGGTAATCCGTGGGAGTTTTGCCTCAGTCTTGGAGTCTCCTCTGAGGGCTGATCTTCAGGTATTGCATGACACTTTTTTGGCTGCAGGTGGTTTGAAGCATCATGAGGGTGTTTCTTAAATTAGGGTATACCCCCAAAATGGCATGCTTCAATGAGGACACTGATGGATTTAGTCAAAGCCATGAAGCCATCAAGCATCGAAGATTTTGAACGTGATACCAGGGGTAAAGGCCAAAATCTATGTTCTCTTCCTGTGCCCTGATCTGTAGGATTTGTAGGTATGACAACACCTCTGACTTTGTGAGAGCGGCATGTGAAGATGAGCTTAGAATAGCTCCAGAGTCAAAGCACTCCATTGTTGCGCCATGGAAGCCATGGAAGAAGATGAGGAAGATGAGGAGGAAGAGGGTGAAGAGGAGGCAGACGAGGCAGAGGAAAAAGATTATGAAGAAGATGATGTAGATAAAGATGCAGAGGAAGAAGATGAAAACGTGGAAGATGAAGCGTCCATTGACTCAGCGGTCGAGAAAAAGAGAGAGAAGGAAAAGAAAGAGAAGAAAGAAAAGAAGGACAAGAAGGAGAAGAAAGAAAAGAAGGACAAGAAGGAGAAGAAAGGAAAGAAGGACAAGAAGGAGAAGAAAGGAAAGAAGGACAAGAAGGAGAAGAAAGGAAAGAAGGACAAGAAGGAGATGAAGGAGAAGAATGAGGAGAACAAGAAGGAGAAGCCTGAGGACCCTTCGGATTCTGATGATTCTGACGGTTCAGACTTAGTCTTGGAGTCCCAGCAGATTCAGTTGGTCCCAAAGCGCTTCTTCAGGCGCCCTGGGCCTTCGCAACAGCTGCCCTTTGAGGTCAGCGCAACCTCCTCCTTCACGGCTCTGACCGAGAAACCATCCGTGCCCACAGTGGAGAATGACGAAAAGGATGACTTTCGACGGAACGAATCTGGGATGAAAAACATTGCAGCGTTTATCTTCATATATTTTCATCTATATTCATATGTTTTCATGTCCTTCTTCTTCATCTATCCACTTACTCTTAATTATGTGATGCTGCCATGTCTGCACATTTCTTCTCGCTCTAATGTTTGCGTTTGATCGCCATTTTCAGGTGCTAATGTGACACGGGTCTTGTGCACCCTGTGTCGTTGGAGTCGAACATCTTCATTTTTTCGGGCATGTTTGATATCTATATATCATTCTATATTGCTTTATTCTTTTATGAGACAGATGTCATCATGTTGAGATGGGTCGAAACCTCTGGGAATCATGTTTTTGCCAGCGGGATGTTTTTGGGGAAGGTTTTGATCCATAGCCATATCATATGTCATGTCCACATCGTGTTTCTTTGATGTTCGTTGAAATCCCAGAACCGGTTGAAGGGACAATTTACATCAAAAAAGTTATATACTTGGGAGCCGTTCCCTGGAAATATCTCCTTAAAACTCAATCCATTGATCATCAGGCAATCAAATCCAGATTTGGAATCGTTAAATCATGTTAAATCCACAACAATACTAGCTCCATTCACAGGTATTAATGACTCTTAATGGCGAAGAAATCGCCGTTTTCTTCAAAAACTGAGGAGTATCCAGAGAGATGCGAAGCCAAAGCCGATGGATTGCTTCTCGACTTTTGCCGCTTCATTCGTCTCCAAGCTGCCCAAGACGCCTGGCTCAGGCGACTCACGCGACAGCACACCATGGCATTCTTAGGCCGAGGATTTTTCTTGTTTCGAGTGATTTTTTTTTTTGTGCATGTGTTCTGGACTCGATTTCTGGTGTTTTTAGATGTTTTTGGGATGTTTTTTGAGATATTATTTTTGGATGTTTGCTTGAATGTTTGTTTGTTTTTTTGGGGATGGGGTGGGATTGAAAAAAGTTTGGTATCTTTCGGGTTGATCTTGTATGGCTTCGTCCAATGCCCACATCAACATCTTCGCACTGAACATTTGCGATTGGCCATGGCAATACCAGCCTTACGCCATAGATCTTGTCTTTTCCCAGGCCCCAAAGAACCAGAAATAGATTGTGACATGTGATTTTTGCTTATTGTAGTTAAGGATACCTTACGGCCGACGAAATGGTTGGAACTGAGGAAACAGCCACGACTGTTTCAAGTTGGGTTTTCGGATTCACTTGGAAACTGTGCAGAAAACTTGGACGCAGGTCGCAGTTTGGTGGATCTTGATTTCAGTCGGGAAGGTGATGGCGAGCAGCAGTTCTGCACTCCGTTCTTTGCGCGCCCTGGGGGTTCCCTGCACCTGGGTGCCTGTTACTCAGTGGTACCCGAAAATCCTGGCCATAAGGACAGCAAACTACTGGAGTTCTGTGAGTTTCTTGACGGTTTCGGAGGTTTTTGATGGATTTCGGCAGCGGGAGGATGGATTTGGATGGTTTTTGAGTGCTTTTGATTGTTTTTGATACTTTCTTTGTGGTTTTTGATTGTTTTTGCTTGGAAAAACAACGCAAAAAGATGGTGAAACCATTTTGTATGAGCAGTCCAATCTAAGTATGTCTTGGATTTGTTGGCTAGATGATGGTGTTATATGATCATTGATCTCTAGCGCTTTATTCGGATTTTCATGGCCTTTCTTGGGAGATCATGGATCCATCTGGATGGCCCAAGGATTCTGGAGAAGTCGGGAATGGCTTCCTGGTTGGATGACCTTCAAGGTGGATGGGCTGGAAATTGTGGAATGTCCCGGCTGTTCCAAGAACTTGGGAAAAATATGAAAAATGGAGAAACACATGAAAACCACATTGTAAACTCATGGTCAACATGTTCATGTTCCAAATTGTCCAAGTTTCTTCCCAGCTTCGGTGGAGATTTTCTCCCACGATTTAGGTGGCGAAAAGAAGATCGGAACTGACAGAGCCAGAGGCGTGAAGACACGCTTCAAGGAGGAAATCCGAAAGGACTGGAAATGACAACTTGAAACCAGTGATCCCCACCAAATGCCATTCTATCAGCATTTTATCTGGCATACTATCTAGAATATATTCTGACATAGCGTATATTTTCATATATTCGGATATTCTATCCAACATATATGCCGGCATTCTTTCTGACATAGTTTCTGACATGGATTCTGACACTATAGTTGACATCCTGTCTGCCATAGATTCTGATTTTTTCTAGAATATCTTTTGACCAAAATTAAAGGACCGGATAACCCCACATGTCAACTTCTTCCAACAAGCAGCAAAAGAAGGGTAAAGATGGCATGGGGAAAGCAGGAAAGGGAAAAGAGATGGTGAAGGATTGGTGTGGAGCAAGTTGTGTGTGGAAGAGTACGTACGAGTAAGTTGTGTATGGACAAGTTGTGTTGTATGCATGTATGTATGTATGTATGTATGGATGTATGGATGGACGGATGGATGGATAGACGGATGGATGGATGGATGGATGGATGGATGCATGGATGGATGGATGGATGGATGGATGGATGTGTTAAGAATACAATAGTTTTAATATCAACAATATCCATAGTGTACATGGCAACAATGCACAGCACAATCTGTGCTCTGGATCAAGGCCTTGAGCCTAAGACAATTGCCAGAGGAAAAACAATACAGCGGATCGTGCACAAGACAAGGACAATTGGACAAGAGGACAAACGTGAGACAACGTGGACACAATCCATCACAAACAGAGTGCCGGTGAAACTTTACATGGTAGCGGAGCAAGGATCCTGGCAACGACAATCCAGGTGAGCTCCAATACCACAACACTCAACAAACACACACACAACAGCAACAGAAGGAGACAAGCCTTGACCCCACAAGAGGTAGCTTGTGACAACTACGGCAACAATGGCAGTAGCAGCACCGGCAGGAGGAGCATTACCTCCAGTGCCAGAAGACAATCTGGCCAACATGAACAGATACAAACTCAAGCCCCCCTTCTACAATGGAGACTACAGCACGTTTGAAGAATGGAAGTACAAGTTCACAGCATACATGGGCCTACAAGACAATGACTACACACCACTACTACAAGCAGCAGAGGCTGCCAATGCAGAGCTGACCGAAGCACAACTACGAGGAGCAGCAACAACAATTGAGGATGGTGAACGACATGTTCGCCTCAGCACCGACTTGAGGTACATCCTCATCAACACAACAACTGGGGCAGCAGCAACAGTCTGCCGACAATACCAGCACACAATTGGCTTTGAAATGTACAGACAACTTTGCATACGATTCTCAATACCACTTGGCACAAGATCAATTGGACACCTTACACGACTACTCAAACCAAAATTCGACAACAACAATTTCGAGGAGTCATTCTCAACATGGGAATTTGAGCTCCAACGCTTTGAGCGTGACAATGGACAACAATTGCCAGATGCAGTAAAAATAGCAGTGCTACTCAATGAGACAACAGGACCACTACAACAACACCTACAACTACTCTCAGGACAAAACCCAAACTACGCCAGAGTCAAAGCAACAATCATTGAATACTACAGATCGACAACAGCATTCAGCAAGCTACAACAACTCGCCACACAATCATCCAGCGTGTCAACCAACTATGCTGGAGGACAAGCACCCATGGACATTGACGCAGTGCACAAAGGAAAAGGAAAACACAAAGGAAAAGGTAAAGGCAAAGGAAAACATAAAGGCAAAGGCTACGGTGGATACAACGGCTACGGCTACAACAATTACAACAAAGGAAAAGGAAAGAATGGAGGGAAAGGATACAACCCCTACAACAATCCAATTGGATACGGCAATCCTTTTGGAGGAAAAGGCAACAAAGGATACAAAGGATACAACAAAGGAAAAGGAAAAGGAAAGAACAAAGGAAAACAAGTGACCGATACCTGCTACAGGTGTGGGCGAGCAGGACACTATGCCAAAGACTGCAGAGTAGCAATCCACAACATTGGATAAGGAGAACACAATGACAATGAAGACACAACAGCACAATGGTACACCGACTACTATGACAATGGCTGGTACCACATAGATTACACAGCAGCAGCCGCAGCAGCAATACTATACACAGCAGCAGCCTCAGCAACAATTGGCATTACCACCAATCCCACCAACGGCAGGCAACAACGGCAGTATGCCAATCCATGTCATTGCAATGGTTAGCAATGGCAACAGCAACAGCAACAACCAAATGACAACAGCTGACACAACAAACATCATGATCGATAGTGGAGCAGCTACACACGTATGCCCACTATGGTTTGCAGACAATTACCCAATACACAGGTTCGACGAAGCACAACTTCCAAACCTGAGGACGGTCACCAACAAGACCATACAATGCTATGGCGTGAGATGGGTCTACATGCAATCAAGGGGACAACCAATTGTCATACCATTCTATGTGTGTGACATACATGACCCGATCCTGTCAGTGACAAGACTGGCAGAACAAGGCTTTGACATCAGGTTCAACGACACACCCACAATGAGCCACAACAAGGGATTCGACGTCTCCTTGGTCCAACAACACAACCTTTACTACCTACCAGCAACAATTGTGAACTTGGAACAACACCAGCAACTACAACTTCGACAGACACCAGAGGGCATGATAGCAATGATTGCCCCAACCACGCTGACACAAGCAGGACCACAACAAGTCCTTGGAGGAAACAACGACTACTGGAACTACAACAGTGAAGGATACCTGGTGAGGTACCACAGGAACAAAAGAAAGGCACTATTCGTTCCTGGTAACAATTGTCCAGTATCTCTTGGAAGATTGAGCAACTATCGAAGGACAATTGTCAGACGGCCAAATGGGCACAATGAGGATTTCGTGGAACAGTACAATGACTTGGGTAAGAATGCACAAAAGCGAATCCTACAAGGTGATGCCTGGACAGGAGAAACTTGGTTCAAAGTGACTGGACAACCAGCAGCCACGCAACCATCTGCAGCACAACCGAGGACACCTGTGCCTCAACCACAGCCACAGCAGACAACACAAACAGAGCACCAGCCACCGGTGCCACAACTGCCAGCACACGCAGAAACACGCAAGCAGACAATCAACCGAGAACCACTCTTTCGACATACAACCAAGAAGCCACAACCAACAACGACGGCAATACCAGGACCACAAACACTGACACCAAACTCTGATTACTGGATCAGAGAAGGGGACACTTGTGGAAGCGTGTCCACATACAACCACGTACAACACTTTACGTACCAGAACAATCAGATGATGGGCCGAACATTGAACGATTGACTTCAGAAAGAACAACAATGGTGTCACCAACAGAGCAAGCAAGAGGATGGAGGATTGACGACAATTGGAAGGAATCAGGAGCAAGACCACTTGACAGACAATGGACAGGATCAACAAACTTTGAGGAAGATGTCGAGTACAAGTATGAGTACGACACAGACAATGAGGAAGAAACGCAACAAGCACAAAGACCACGAGGAATGAAGGCCCCACAACAACCAACAAGGCAAGAAAGATTTGAGCACGAACTGACACACCTGCCATACAGAACATGGTGCCCAATTTGCGTGAAGAGCAAAGGCAGAACAGACAATCACCCAAAGCAAACAAGCAAACAACCGGTGATACAAGTGGACTTCACATACATGAAAGCCTTTGGAGACAAACAAGTACTATACCAGTACTGACAGCAATAGATGTCGAATCAGGTATGGCAATGGCAGTTCTTGTACAAGACAAGAACCAACAACAACAATACCTGGTACGATGTCTACAAACATTCATGTTTGAATGTGGACGAGCACAAGCAACACTTTCACCAACAACACTACAAACAGACCAAGAGGAGTTCATCCTGAACCTCTTGAAGACAGTGGCACAAAACCTTGGAGCCAACATCAATGTAAGACAATCACCAGCATACTCATCACAATCACAAGGCAGTATCGAACGATACCACCGCACACTGATGGGACAAGTACGAGCTTTACTACAACAAGTCACCATCAGCTACAACCTCACACTGAGCGTACAACATCCAATCCTACCATGGATTGTGAGACACGCAGCATGGCTACTGAACAGGTACGCCATTCACAATGATGGGCAAACAAGTTACCAAAGGAGATGGCAAAAGGATCACAAAGCACCACTGTGTGAGATGGCCGAAACAATACAATACATGATTTCCACAACAAGGACACTACCAAAGATGGAACCAAGATTCTTCAAAGGAATCTGGCTTGGAAGAGACACAATGACAGGAGAATCAATAATAGGAATTCCAGGCAAAATCATCAGGGTGAGAACCATTCGAAGACAAATTGAACCAGACAAATACGACAGGCAACTCCTGGATACAATCAATGTGTATCCATGGAACTCACCAACACCGCCAACGGCAATATCACCACAACTACTCTTACCAGCCAACCCACAAGCAAGCAGCTACGCCATTGGTACACAAACTGGCATCCCAATGACTGAGACAAGCACACAAACACAACAAGCAGGAACACCATTAGCACTACCAGCATCAGCACAGCAACTACCAACAGACTCCACAATGGCAACAGCACCGTTGGCAACTTCGCCAACGAACATCACAAGACCAGCATTGCCTTTACCACAAGGCAAAAGACCGCACGAAGAGCCAATAGGTCAAGCTGAGCCAAAACAATCGAGAACAGCACAATCCTCAGCAGCAGTTAGCCGAGGGCATCAAGAGGAACAGCCACACTCCAAAATGAGGATACAAGCAGTGACAATCACCACAAAGAAAGGAGACACAATCACGACAGCATCGTGTGAAGACGAACAAGAAGCAGAAGTGGAACGAATGCTACAAGAACCCTTCGTCTACGACAACGAAGGACTGGACTCCAAGAAAGTCCAACAAGGAATGAAGAAAGAAGCACAATCAATGAAGGGACAAGGAGTGTTCACAGAAATCAACTACAATGATGTCCCTGACGAATACAAAGGAAAGATTATAGAATCCAGATGGGTCAACAAGCCGAAACAAGACGAAGTGAGATGCAGAATCGTCGCGAAAGGTTTTCTGGAAACAATCCAGGACCTCGACAACATCTTGGCAGGACCACTTCGCACAAGTCCTACAACAACTTGGACTCACACGACTCACAAGTGAGCCCAATGTATACAGAAACAAGGAACAGACAATGTTCGTGATGGTCTACGTAGATGACCTACTTTTCCTGGGACAACCCCAAGAGGTCAACAAGACCTTCCAGGAAATACAAAAGCACGTACTCTTACGACCAACAGGCACACTCGGAGTTGGGCAAACAATCCAATTCCTTGGAAGAGACATCTACAACAACGGAGACTATTTTGAACTCAGTCTCAAGCCAGAGTACATTACAACACTCCTGAAAGAAACAAAAATGGAAACAAGCAATCCGGCAGCAACTCCAGGGACGGCAACCCTGAAACAATCAACAAATGACGAAGCACCCTTGGACAAACAAGAACATGCAGACTACAGAAGAGCAGTAGGAAAGCTACAACGGCTGACTTACACAAGACCGGATATTAGCTTTTCAACAAAGGAACTGGCAAGAGACCTACAACAGCCGACACAACAAAGCCTCCGCAAGTTGAAACATCTCTTGCGGTACCTACGTGGAACACAACAATACAAGATGATCATTCGACCAACACACACACCACAAACAAAGGAACCCATCGACCTGAACATCTACGTCGATGCGGACTGGGCAGGATGCCCAAACACAAGAAAATCAACAAGCGGATTCATCGTGACAATGATGGGATCCGTCGTACAATTCGGCAGCAGAACACAAGCAGTGGTAGCACTATCATCGGCAGAATCAGAACTATACGCAATCGGCACAGGGGCACAAGAAGGCCTACACATAGCCAACTTCATAAAGGAAGCAACCACAACAAAAGTGAACATCCGCATACACACCGACAGCACAAGCGGAAAGAGCATCGCAACAAGAATCGGGTCATCCAAGAAAGCAAAACACATTGACCTGAAGTACCTATTCATACAACAACTGGTACAGAGCGGAATACTATCAATCCACAAAATCAGCACACACGACAACCCAGCGGACATACTCACAAAGTATGTCCCGGCAGAGGTGCTCAACAAACACCTCTACATGGCTGGCATCCACAGCCCACAACATCGCAACTGACCGCCGGCATAACACTGTTTCACAACCTCAAAGCATCCCCTGCGTGTACAATACACACACGGTTGCTCAAGCCATGGTACACTATTTTCTTAAAGAATATGGATACCATCAACTATATGTATCACTATATCATCTACAAGATCTTCGTTTCACTATGATATATACTATGTCATCTACAATTCATCATTGACGTCATCTTTTGCTGCATGTGAGTGCGACTGGACAATGTCGAGTTGGAACAATCCTGAGACAATCGTGTTTGAATCGTTTTGCTTTTGAATTGACAATGCATGAACAATGTCGATGAAACACTAGTTCACCGCAGCCGCGTCTGCTCACAAGCGACCCGACAATACGGTGAACAAGATCATCTACAAGAACGCCAGGTGAAACAATGATGGCACCCAAGGTGGACATGCCAAACTACAATGAGTCGATTGACCAGATCGACTACAAGCGCCTGGTACTTCTGGGCCAGAAGTCAACGGCCACAACCTATGTGGACCGTGCTGCACTGGCCAATGAAGAAGAGGCCACAATTCGCATCCTGAAGCCTGAGGAGACGGACAAGACAGCAAGACAATTGCTGTTGGGCTTGGACGGCAAAACAATGACCGTCTTCAGCTTCACAATGGAGGAATATGTGGCCATGATCGCAGAGCAAGAAGGAACATTGACCTACATCCCCGGTGATGTCCGAGAATCCAGGACGCAGCAAATCATCTGTGTTGGCACGTGTCGAAAGGACACACAACGCCATCGTCAAGCACAGTGATGGTGGCAATTCAGTTGGACCTCAACAATTGGTGCTCCCATCACACAATGAAGCACGTCAATTCATTCCAGCGTGGATCTAGCCTACAGATGAGGCAAGTGCTGGAAGGATTCCAATACAATCTCACCGCCGAAGAGTTGTCGACAATGGTCATTGTCAACTATGACAACTACAATGTGCTCCAACTGGCCTCACGCTTTGTGTAGTCAAGTGGATATGTGTGGGCATCAGCAATGCCAGTGAATGTGCTCACAGCCCTGGAGGTCAAGGATGATGAGAACAATTCTCACATCATGACTGCTCTCATCCAAGGCCTATACAATGGAGGCACCACTTGCCTCAAAATCATGCCAAAGCACATCCGAGACAAGGCATTGGAATTCCTGTTGGATCGCAATCTGGCAACAACCCCAGCCAACATGATCCCTATGCACAGCATTGGTCATCCTGACCATGCAGCCTGGGTCATGACCAGGTCTGACAATGAGATCCAGCAAGTTGGGAACAAAGAGAACAGGAAGCGCCGTGCTGACGACATGGAAGTCGAACAGAAGGACGGCTAGAAGATGATCTACAAGATCCAAGAGGATTGACTATGATGACACCACATCTTTGCCGACCACGAGACAATCAAAAGACGCACAACGAGTCGACAATGAGGCAAAGAAGTGTACAGATCATCAACAATCCACTGTACAGACTTGAACAATTTTTGCACTGAACAATGAGAGAAAAAAATAATGCTGATTTCAGTTTTCAATGATGCTACTGGACAATGTGAATGGACAATCCTAAACGAAGTGGCGTGCACAATGCCGCCAATTCGAGGGACGGGGTTAAGAATACAATAGTTTTAATATCAACAATATCCATAGTGTACATGGCAACAATGCACAGCACAATCTGTGCTCTGGATCAAGGCCTTGAGCCTAAGACAATTGCCAGAGGAAAAACAATACAGCGGATCGTGCACAAGACAAGGACCATTGGACAAGAGGACAAACGTGAGACAACGTGGACACAATCCATCACAACCAGAGTGCCGGTGAAACTTTACAGGATGGATGGATGTATGGATATATATATATATGGTGTCAAATGGCTACAGATCACGCAGGTACGACAATCTCATCCGCTCCAAACATGCAGCAGAGGTACATGCCCAGTCGATGTCACCAAATACCACGCATGCCACGTGAAACGAAGATGAATGTCTCCAAGTGCCACGCCTGCCACGCAAAAAGCCGCGGCGACCACTCGGGCACGTGGGAACCGAGCGCGCCACCAGAGCTAGCCCAGTGCCATACGTGCCACGCCTGCCACGCAAAGTGAGTAAGTTGAGTACCACGCCTGCCACGTGAAACGAAGGTGGATGTCACAAAGTGCCACGCCTGCCACGTGAAACGAAGATGAATGTCTCCAAGTGCCACGCCTGCCACGCAAAAAGCCGCGGCGACCACTCGGGCACGTGGGAACCGAGCGCGCCACCAGAGCCAGCCCAGTGCCATACGTGCCACGCCTGCCACGCAAAGTGACGATCCATATCGCCAAGTGCGACGCCTGCGTGAGTAAGTTGTATGTGTGCAAGTTGTGCGTGAGTAAGTTGCGTGTGAGTAAGTTGTGTGTGAGCAAGTTGTGTGTGAGTAAGTCAAGTGCCACGTGAAACAAAGGTGGATGCCACCAAGTACCACGCCTGCCACGTGAAACGAAGATGAATGTCTCCAAGTGCCACGCCTGCCACGCAAAAAGCCGCGGCGACCACTCGGGCACGTGGGAACCGAGCGCGCCACTAGAGCTAGCCCAGTGCCATACGTGCCACGCCTGCCACGCAAAGTGAGTAAGTCGAGTACCACGCCTGCCACGTGAAGGTGGACGTCACCAAGTACCACAAGATGAATGTCTCCAAGCGCCACGCCTGCCACGCAAAAAGCCGCGGCGACCACTCGGGCACGTGGGAACCGAGCGCGCCACCAGAGCCAGCCCAGTGCCATACGTGCCACGCCTGCCACGCAAAGTGTTGATCCATATCGCCAAGTGCGACGCCTGCGTGAGTAAGTTGTATGTGTGCAAGTTGTGCGTGAGTAAGTTGCGTGTGAGTAAGTTGCGTGTGAGTAAGTTGTGTGTGAGTAAGTCGAGTACCACGCCTGCCACGTGAAACGAAGGTGGATGTCACCAAGTGCCACACCTGCCACGTGAAACGAAGATGAATGTCTCCAAGTGCCACGCCTGCCACGCAAAAAGCCGCGCCGACCACTCGGGCACGTGGGAACCGAGCGCGCCACTAGAGCTAGCCCAGTGCCATACGTGCCACGCCTGCCACGCAAAGTGAGTAAGTCGAGTACCACGCCTGCCACGTGAAACGAAGGTGGACGTCACCAAGTACCACAAGATGAATGTCTCCAAGCGCCACGCCTGCCACGCAAAAAGCCGCGGCGACCACTCGGGCACGTGGGAACCGAGCGCGCCACTAGAGCTAGCCCAGTGCCATACGTGCCACGCCTGCCACGCAAAGTGACGATCCATGTCTCCAAGTGCCATGCCTGCATGAGTAAGTTGTATGTGTGCAAGTTGTGCGTGAGTAAGTTGCGTGCAAGTAAGTTGTGTGTGAACAAGTTGTGTGTGAGTAAGTCGAGTACCACGCCTGCCACGTGAAACGAAGGTGGATGTCACCAAGTACCACGCCTGCCACGTGAAACGAAGATGAATGTCTCCAAGTGCCACGCCTGCCACGCAAAAAGCCGCGGCGACCACTCGGGCACGTGGGAACCGAGCGCGCCACCAGAGCTAGCCCAGTGCCATACGTGCCACGCCTGCCACGCAAAGTGAGTAAGTCGAGTACCACGCCTGCCACATGAAACGAAGGTGGATGTCACCAAGTGCCACGCCTGCCACGTGAAACGAAGATGAATGTCTCCAAGCGCCACGCCTGCCACGCAAAAAGCCGCGGCGACCACTCGGGCACGTGGGAACCGAGCGCGCCACCAGAGCCAGCCCAGTGCCATACGTGCCACGCCTGCCACGCAAAGTGACGATCCATGTCTCCAAGTGCCACGCCTGCATGAGTAAGTTGTATGTGTGCAAGTTGTGCATGAGTAAGTTGCGTGTAAGTAAGTTGTGTGTGTGCAAGTTGTGTGTGAGTATGTCGAGTACCACGCCTGCCACGTGAAACGAAGGTGGATGTCACCAAGTACCACGCTTGTCACGTGAAACGAAGATGAATGTCTCCAAGTGCCACGCCTGCCACGCAAAAAGCCGCGGCGACCACTCGGGCACGTGGGAACCGAGCGCGCCACCAGAGCTAGCCCAGTGCCATACGTGCCATGCCTGCCACGCAAAGTGAGTAAGTCGAGTACCACGCCTGCCACGTGAAACGAAGGTGGATGTCACCAAGTGCCACGCCTGCCACGTGAAACGAAGATGAATGTCTCCAAGTGCCACGCCTGCCACGCAAAAAGCCGCGGCGACCACTCGGGCACGTGGGAACCGAGCGCGCCACCAGAGCCAGCCCAGTGCCATACGTGCCACGCCTGCCACGTGAAACGAAGGTGGATGTCTCAAAGTGCCACGCCTGCTACGCAAAGTGCAGCTACATGTCTCCAAGTGCCACGCCTGCCACGCAAGTGCCACGCCTGCCACTGTGTGTGAGTAAGTTGTGTGTCTGTGTGCAAGTTCTGTGTGAGCAAGTTGTGTGTGTGTGTGAGTTCTGTGTGAGCAAGTTGTATGTGAGCAAGTTGTGTGTGTGCAAGTTATGTGTGAGCAAGTTGTGTGTGAGCAAGTTGTGTGTGAGCAAGCTGTGTGTGAGCAAGTTGTGTGTGAGCAAGTTGTGTGTGAGCAAGCTGTGTGTGAGCAAGTTGTGTGTGAGTAAGCTGTGCTGGCGGCGGGACGACGGGAGGACGGGAGGACGGACGGGATGCAGAATCAAAAACAAGAACCCCACACAAAGATGTGGGGAAAAATTGACATTCTATTTGACATCTATTCCTGGATGGATGCCGACATTTTTCTGATATTCCTGATATCCTATCTTCCAGGACCATATTCCAACATATCTGGCGTACATTCTGACATTATCTCCATGTTATCGGCCATACCTGGCATTCTGACATTTGACCTAGTCTTTAGGGCCAGCTGGGTGAGTCTAGTGGGACAGTTTGTTAGAATTTAAAGACCATCTGGGAGGTGGAAAACAAACTCATTTTTCGCACATGAAATTTTCGGGCAGACCAATTAGATACAATAGGACCTTGGACATGTTTGGGAAGGCCATTGCGTTTTTGCAGATTCCTTTTGGTTTAGGTAAGTCATTGCCGAGTTTTTTTGTGGTGTGTGGGTTCAGAACTGGCCTGGTAAGTCCGCTGGTTAACCAGAATTGGCAAGAATTTGTGCCGTTTTTTTGTTTTCCATCTCTGGGGTTTAAAGTAATATGGTTTCCTACAGTTTTTCCACCGAACCCATCCATTGATGCATTTTTCTTGGTCTTCCTGCACGACCATACAATCTACAGTTTCAAAAGGAAAACAAGACCAAAGACATCCGCAGAAAATCTTCGCAGCGCAGGATATCATCAAGACACTCTACTCCAACAAGGAAGCCACGGATTACTTGCAGAAACCTGAGAAAGACGAGAAAGATGAGATTTCGATCCTTCGGACAGCTTGGTGGGAGTTTCAGATCTTCCGGCTCCAGCAACCTCCGAAACAACCTGAGATCGTAGAATTTTTGGAAGTTCATGGCTCAAAATCTTCTGGCGACCTTCGGGAAGAGCTGAGCAGTTTGAATCAAATTGTCACTGGAACTGGTTTACTTCAGTTTTTTGGGGTTATTTTTCTGAAGGCCGGACCATTGAAAAGAAGACCTTTCAGTGACCAAAAAGGAGTCTTATGAACGAATCCTCCCATCTTGGGTCAGCAAAGAACTTGGGTGGTTGAACTGGTTGAACATCAAGTTCAACATCTCGGTTTTAGGCCAACGTGTAGAATCTAAAAGGTAATTAATTATACATCTTCGTCCCCGGCATGATTTTTCCATCGGAAAGATTTTGCACCTTCACCATCAACCACCCATCATTTCTGGATAATACTCGAATTCCAATGCCATACTACGGACAGTGTCCTTTATTCCTTTAATTATTGTGTTCACAGCCGTCATTTTTTCAAGTGAACACCTTCTTTGTTGATGGTTAAGTGTTGATGTTTCAACTATGTTTGACGTTTGAACCCTCGTTTCTTGTCTTTAAAGCATGTTTCTAACGGCGGAAACATGTTTTTTTAATGGTTTTTGGGGATTGGAAAATTCCTGTGGCAAACCGCCAGGTCACCGTGCAAGCCCAACGTCGTGAGTCCTTCGTGCGGCAGATGATGGCGGTGACGCCAGAGTTGGAAGGGTCAGAATGGCATCAGCTCTTGGCCAGGTCACCTTGATGCATAATTCAGCATACTTGTATGATAAAACTAAGTGATCTAAATGGATGTTAACCCCAAAAATCATGAAACTTGGCTGTCTTAATGACGAAATGTAAGGGAAGTGATGTGTAATAGTTCAGACATGGGGAAGTTCAGACAAAATTTGGGATGCCAGGTGGATTTCATCAACTGAATAGGACAACATATTCTGGGGAAAGTCAGATGGTGGTTGTAGGGTTTTGTGAGTTAACCCCACCAGTGTCATGCACTCGAACCTTATTTGATGGCTCACCCTACCTAGGTTCTATGTGGACCAGCCGCATCACATGTACAGGCACTCAATATGCTACGAAGCCCAAGCAGAATGAAGACCCAAGTATCCAAGCACTTCAGATAGTTCTAGCCTTTGTGAAGGCTACAACCTCATGCTTGATCCCATCCCCCTGATTTTGAACATCCATAAATGGTCCCCAATATGTGGTTTAATCCCTAGACGAAACCATGATTTCTTGGTTGTGTTTTAACATTAGGCGGACGGGATTATGAACCGTTGCCTATGATTTGCCAATTATTTTCACCATGATTCACCATTATGAATGTACATATATAATCATATACATGTATACACACATGTGTGTATATATATATTTCTTACACACGCACACTTATATATATAATATTGATATGGGATATTTCATGAATATATGGCCAATGAGCTGAGAATTCCTTCATCTTCGGCCAGGTTGATGTTGTCACTCCATTCCGACCTGGAGCTTTTCATCCAAGTTCAGTTGCCCTTCTTGGCCTCGGATGCGGCTGACCCGGACACGCAACATCGAAAGACTGCAGCGATAGCCTACCGAGTTCCGAGGTCAAATTTTCACGAAGAACGGGATGAAGTTGCTGTTGGTATGATGTATCATGATTATCATGATTATCATGGGGAGAACAGGAGAACTAACCACAACTAACATGATGCTCATGGGGAGATCAGGGGAAGCCAACCAACAATTGGGATTACAATTACGATGGGAAAATAACAGGCATATAAATGGGCTTACTTACATAGATACATATATAGAGAGTTACCTATAATGGGGACATAGTGGTCCAAGAATTGGTTGACAGAACCCGCCCATATTTGGTCGGTACAACAATTTTTCCTGTTGATTATCCTTGAAACAAACTCAGGGAAACGGGAATGCCATGGGGGTATGGATGGGATTCAATGTGTAGATGCCCAACTATATTGGGGAAGTAAACGAGAGAGAGAGAGAGAGATATATATATATTTTTGTATACATACCAGTCGTACCGCACAAAACGGTGGCGGAACTTTCAAAGATAAGCAACCTATCGGAGAGATTGCTTGTTTTGAAGCACGAATGGCAGAGCGAACACACTGAAGGATCGAAAGGTGGCTGGAGTGTCGGGCTCATCTATCTGTCTGTCTGTCTGTTTGTCTGTCTACCTGTCTACCTGTCTATCTGTCTATCTATCTATCTGTCTAGCTATCTGTCTTTCTATCTATCTATCTATCTGTCTGCCTAGCTATCTATCTTTCTGTCTTTCTATCTGTCTATCGATCTGTCTACCTACATGTCTTTCTATGCATCTGTCTATCTATCTGTCTAATTTTGCGTCTTTGTACGTCTTTGTACGTTTCTGTTTATCTGTCTTTCCATCTTTCTATCTATCTATCTATCTATCTGTCTATTTGTCTATCTATCTATCTATCTATCTATCCATCTATCCATCTATCTATCGATCTATCGATCTATCGATCTATCGATCTATCGATCTATCGATCTATCTATCTATCTATGCCTATCTATACCTATCTATACCTATCTATCCATCCATCCATCCATCTTTCTTTCTTCTGTCTCTGTAAAAACGAAGCAATTCTGCAAGACTTCCCCAAGATTTTCAATGGACAACATCAAAAACCAAGCACTTCTGCAAGAATTCCCGGGATTTTCGAACTTGACAACCTCAAAAACGAAGAAATTCTATGAGATATCATCAATTTTCAAAGTTTGTTGACGACACCAAAAAACGACGCAATTCTGCGAGACTTCCTTCAAAAATAGAAAGCTGCCTGCAGAGCTGACCGCCTCGTATCAATGTGTTTTGCGATTTTCCCGTTTCATTTGTCTGAAGTATTGCCCCTGCCACGAAAAAGTGAGGCCAGTTCATACGAAGTGCTGCACCTGTTACGCAAAATCCTCTCAGCAGACTTGAAGATCTGATGCTCCAAAATGCAACCCCTCTCAGGAAATCAGCGCCCACACCTCCAAACAAGTCTGACTCATGTGTCTCTTGTACTGCGCCTGCCCACCCCACGCCTGCCAACGCTTTTGAATCTGCTACAAAACCCTCACGTTTTGCACACTTTTTTCTGCCCTGCGCTTGCCACCCAAAACCACATCTCAACTTCCAAAAGTGCTCCAAACCTGACAGTTGTTCACAGTTTTGACTTCAAAATGTGCTTCTTGCCACAACGCCGTGCACTTTTTCAACAGCGCAACTTCCGAAAGTGCTCCAAGAATGGTATGCCTTTACCATTTTGACTTCCAAGTGTGCTCCTGCCACAACGATGTCCACTTTTTCGACATCTCAACTTCCAAAAGCGCTCCAAATCTCACAGTTTTTCACAGTTTTGACTTCGAAATGTGCTTCCTGCCACAATGGCATGCACTTTTTCAACAGCGCAACTTCCGAAAGTGCTCCAAGAATGGTGTGCCTGTACCTCTTTGACTTCCAAATGCGTTTCCTGCCACAACGATGTCAACTTTTTCGACATCTCAACTTCCAAAACTGCTCCGAACCTGACAGTTTTTTCTTGCCCAGTTTTGACTTCGAAATGTGCTTCGCGCCACAATGGCGTGCAATTGTTTATCTCTCATGTGGCCAGATGGCTCCGCACCCGCCGCTTTAGCGAGCCTCCTTTTTGACCTGCCTGAGCCCAGAAACATTGGGAAAACACAGCGTTCTTTCTTCTGACTCTTTCTCTTCTCTGATCTTCTTTCTTCTGCCTTTCTCTTTCCTGGATCGTCCCACCTCTACTTTTTCATCTGTCCATGTTGTCGGAAGTTTCACGTCTAAACTTCCTTCCATAAGCCGCGTCTTTGATTTTTGTTGGGGATTGATGGTGATGCTTTTTGCTTTGGGTGCCAATGAGGGGGTATCTTCAATATCATGGGTCGTTTTCAAAGAACCAGAATTTTCTGGGAAAAGCACGTTTTTCCCAATTTTTCCTAAAGGAAATCCACCTTTAATACTAGGGGCATCCATGGGAAAAACGTCCACCAGAAATGGGGAATCCATACTCCGATGTGCATCTCATTTACTTTGTTGGAAACAACCATATGACAGACCAAGTTAGATTGATCAGTGTTTCGCGTTTCTTGGGTGGACGGGGTTATGAACAATACCAGAACCATGAATAGCCATGGATCTGACCATGTAGATATCCATGTAGTATTCGGATTAGCGACCCAGGTTCCTCACGAACACCGTGACCATAGTCCACCTTTCGACCTGTGGGACGCTACAAGGAGAGAATCATTGGAATCATTGGATGAGATTTGAACCGTTTCTTTTATTCATACAGATATTCGTTTGATTTTGGTTATGATAATGATCGCAGATCCTTATCCTTAATGTCAGTGCTCTGGCGATTGGTAAGATGCAGCTTTCGAAGTGGATACGAGATGCATACCCTTGGTGTCATCAAACATGGTTGGTAAACACCGGAGATACATGGAGGTTTATGGCTTGGAAAATGATCGAGCTGAATGATGGTCCCATTGTCTGGTTCTACAAAAAAACAGTTTGCGAACGGGAAACCATGGCCTATTTTGTCAAATGATTTCTCTCGTGTTAAACATGGTGATTTGTCACAGCAATATGTTAGATTACGAAAGGATATACGGTACCAACTTGCTGAGTCTGGTTGTTTGGTTTATTTCTATTTTGACAATTTGTTTTCGATGCGCCCTCCATATTTGGCATGTTCCAGAGCCAGCGCATGCGATTCCCAAAGTGCTTTCGGCTGCTTTTTTTCACACGATATTGGGTTTCGATCCTAAGGTGGTGAAGGGAAACATCTATCTGAGGGCCATCCACTGATACATACATGCATGCTGCACACAAAAATAGATAAATTGATGGAAATAGATGGATTAAAAGTAGTTTTACCAAGAATCATAGGAGGTATCAGAATCATCACGGTGATGAGGATACACAGAAGAAATTGAGATGGGAAAGCAAATGCAGGAAGTCAACCACCATTGCCTTGTGCGGATCGCTTCCAGTGGTTTCCAGCTATTTTTTGCATTCCCATTTAATATACGTATATATATATATATCAAATTCTACATATACAAGCTGAGCCCCCTTCTTAAAACTTGACTTATAATCAGGGCTAAAATATGTTATAACTAGGGTTATCTCACGATTTAAATTCCATAACTTATGTTAAACTTATATCTGAGTTATGGGTTTTTAAGGTAACTTGTATCTTTTAAGTTGAAAGATACTCAAAAGATACCAAAAAAATAGCAAAGTTAACTTTATTATTTTCGACTTTTGAAGGTTAGCTCGGTTTGCATTTTTGTATTGATTTGCATATCTTTTGCTGCTTTTGGTTCAGACGCATGGGTTTTCCGCAATTTTGGATACACCGCCTGTTTCTTTGTTTTTTCCCCCCTGTTTTTACCGCTGAAGACAGAAACCAGTCTGCAAAGAAAAGCCACACGGCTTCCAAGCAAACTGACCAGCAGAACTGACCAGCAGTCGAATCAGGCGGCGGTGGCGCCTGTGATCACAGCTGCGTCGCCCACGTCGGGTGACGCAGCGGACCCTGGAATCGAGATGGTGAACCGTCTTCTTGAGACGGCAATCTGTTGAAGGATTTCAAGGCTTGAAGTGGCTTGTGTCACCGGCTTGCTGGTACAAATAGCCGCAACCGCACAGACCAGCAAACAAAAACCGGCTTTGTAGGTGAAGGGAGTAGAGTTAGCAACAAAAATGACAAAACACGTATGTACATTCTGGTATTCTAGGAGAAAACCCGAAGATGCGTACGTGTTTTCTAGCAAGAACCCCAAAACGCGTGTGTGTGTGTTCATATCTATCCTTGTGTTTTTGTTGAATGCGATGCTATGTTGGGGATGTGTTTTTTTCGTGTTTTTCGTGTTGTTTTGTGTTTTTTTCCGCACAAGAAAACACCTGAAACAAAAACGCATGTGTATGTTGCTTTCAAAACAAGGGAAGTTCCAAAAACTCGTATGTATATTCCTTTCGATCCAAGGAAACGCATATGTGCTTTGGGGTTTGAACGCCCCAGAAGAAAATGTACATGTGTGTTTTATCACAATCATTCAAAGGTAGAAAAGAATGATTTTCCGCAACTTCGAACTCTCAAGAAGGAGCTTTGCATGCACTTTCGGACGCCTCGCTGCTGCAGCCTTTTCCCCGTCACATGGCTACTCCTGAAGAGACTCTCGTGCAATGTTTGCTGTGAATGCATCCAATTAGAAACTTTTCATTGCACCGTGCTTGCCAAGCGGAAAAAGGGAGTGAAATCGCGAGAATTTAGGCTACTTACTCCTCGAAAGAAGTCTTAAAACCGCAAGTTTTCCTCCAACTTGAAAAATGCAAAACTAAAAAGATTTAAAAAATAGCGAAGCTTTAACTTGACTTATTTCCTCACTAACTTAACGTAACATAACTTCAACATAACTTCCTTAATTTATAACCTCCATAACTTCAACATAACTTGGGGGCGGCTCCTTGTATATTATATATATATATATAAATAGTTCTTTAATATTTATTTACATGTATGTACTCATACATGCAATATGTGTGTATTGTATAGATGCATGTGCATGTCTAGGAAGGCTTTCCAGGTTGGGGAAGGGACACGTTGGCAAAGTTAATGAAGGAAAGAGTGAAGGGCGAGGTTAAACTCAATTTTGAAATTTCAACCCTGGCATTTAGGATACAATGCTGTATAATAAAAAACATCAATGCATATCCACAACTGCCAGCGGCCTGCATGTGTTTACATGTAAGGATCAATGACACCCACCCTCTAGGTCAAAAAGGTCAACAATATTTTTGGATGCATTTTCTGAACTACCCCGAAGTAATAAACTTCGCAGCATTGAAGGAAAAGGAGGAAAAGTGGAAAACGAAACAAAAAACACAAGGCTGAGGAAGGCTTTAGTAATTCGGGGCGCCCAATTTTTTTATGGAGGAACATCGCTCATGGGGTGAGTACCCTGTCTGAGCTTCCAAAACATTCATGGAGAAAACATCCATGAACTGTCGGAGGCAATTCGCCCGAGCAAGCTCGGTCGGATGGCTATTCGCCCGAGCCGCCTGCCGAGGCAGCCTCAAGCAGTCACAGAATATATTGGTGGATAGTTCTTCGACCGAAGAGATTCCGCTTCCGGGGGAACAACCTCCTGTGTATTCCGACTTCATGGCAAAAGTGCATCCCACAGACACTGAGAGTGAAGTCGAAGCTGCCGGAGAGGCAGCCAAAGAAGCTGCCCTGCCGATGGGCTGGAAATCGAGCATCCTGCAGGCTGCAGGTGAATCTGAGCAAGCTGGCGCCCATCCCCCAAGGTTGCTGTCCAAAGACCTTCTTGAGGCGGACCGAGATCGGCCATCATGAGGGATCCTGAGGTGCCACGTGGCTTGAGATACCCTGCCGACCGTCGAGCTCCATGTCGCAAAAAGCGGGCTGATGCCCAGCATCTTGCTTATGACCGTGGGTGGTATCTCGATAACGCATTTACGGAGGAATGGGGTAAGCTCCGCTATGCCAGCCTATCTGTCCAGTACTGGGACAGATTCTGCCTCTTCGTTTCTTTCATTGACGGACTTGGTCCCAACAAGTTTTCCGCGGTTTGGGATTACCTTGCTGTGGGGAACGTGGAGAGGTATTTCTCTCATCTGGGAGAAGGGATCGAGAAGAAGGGCGGACGGAAGGAACCTACCTTCCTGGATGGCTGGATACAGTACTTTATTTTTTGTTGCAAAAAGTAAAAAAGAATTTAATAATTTCGCGGAGAGTCTTTAGACATATTTTTAGTCAAACAAACCAATGAGGAATTACGTAAATATTTTCCACCAATTTTGGACATTCTGACAATTATCGACGGAAGTTTAGAACTCACTCTTCCGACAATGTAGACAGATGAAAAGCAGAGGTGGGAAGAGCGCGGTAAGAGAAAGGCAGAAAAAAGAAGCTGAGAAAAGAGAAAAAGTCAGAAGAAAGAAGATGCAGCTGCGCAAAAAGGAAGAAAAGTCGCGGAACACTTTGTTTTCCCAATGTTTTGGGGCTCGGAAGGATCGAAAAGTAGGCTCGCCAAAGCGGCGGGTCGCCACGTTTCGAAATCAAAACTGTGAAAAACTGCCAGGTTCGGCGAAAGCACATTTGGAAGCACAATTGGAAGTCAAAATGTTGAAAAACACACCATTTTTGCACCACTTTTGAAAGTTGAGCTGTTGAAAAAGTGCACGCTGTTGTGGCGCGAAACAGATTTCGAAGTCAAACCTGTTAAAGAACTGTCAGGTTCGGAGCTCTTTTGGATTGAGATGTCGAAAAAGTGCACGCTGTTGTGGCGGGAAGCACATTTGAAAGTCAAAATGGTGAAGGCACACCATTCTTGTAGCACTTTCGGAAGTTGCGCTGTTGAAAACGTGCACGCCATTGTGGCAGGAAGCACATTTCGAAGTCAAAACTGTTAAAGAATTGTCAGATTTGGAGCGCTTTTGGAAGTTGAGATGTCGAAATGGTGGACATTGGACATCGTTGTGGCAGGAAGCACATTTGAAATTCAAAAATGGTAAAAGCACACCATTCTCGGTGCACTTTTGGAAGTTGAGCTGTTGAAAAGTGCACGCCACTGTGGCAGGAAGCACATTTCGAATTCAAAACTGTGAAAAACTGTGAGATTTGGAGCACTTTTGGAAGTTGAGATGTCCACATCGTTGTGGCAGGAAGCACGTTTGGAAGTCAAAATGGTAAAGGCACACCATTCCTGGAGCACTTTCGGAAGTTGCGCTGTTGAAAAAGTGCAAGTTGTTGTGGTGCGAAGCATATTTCGAAGTCAAAAGTGTGAAAAACTGTCACGTTCGAAACACTTTTGGAAGTTGAGATGTCAGGAGGGAGAGAGGCCTTCTAATGGAAGGGGATTATTAATCCTTGCTCGGCATTAAACATATTAGCCGACAGGTTAGATATGAATATTTATATCTACTTCATGCATATATGCCAATAATTACACAAAAAACAACATTGTCCATATGTATATCACCCCCGTAATTTTCAAAAAGAGGAGTTTTCTGACGGTGGTCCACAGCATGAAGGGGGAAGAGTTGGCGCCTGTTGAGCACATCGTCCAAACGTTGCAAGAGAAAACCCGCCGCGTGGTGGAGTTGGCACCAAAGATTTGGAAAGTGATGCGCTCTGAGGACAACGAAATTTCGCAAAGGTGGCGCCTTCTGATGGTTTGCAATTTTTTTGTCGGCTCGTGGGATTGGAGCGATACAAGTATATATAGTGTTATTTATTGTTATATAGTTCGGCGGGGCAGGTTGAGGCAATGTCCAGGTATAACCAAGGTTCTAACCCATTTGCGATTTGCGATTCCTTGGATAAGGCACCAAATAGTCGTAATATTGATAAAGGTCATCGCGAGGTCAAAGTGTTGGATTATGCCACTTTCAATTCTCTGGGGAAATTTGTCTGGGTGACAAGGGATGATGGGGATTCTTGTCACATGTAACCCCGGTTGGGCATGCAACAATCTCACAAAAAGAGCCAGTACCTGTGAGACACCATCGGTTGATCTTTTTCCTGGACATCCAACATCCCAGCGGCATCATCGAAGTTGGCTGGCTGAGAAATTGTCGAACGGAATTAGCATTCAAATGGAAAAAGTGAAACAGTAAATGGTAATTTGCCCTTGGGGATACATGTTGTGTTTTTTTGGAGTGGAAAAACCAACAAAGGTGGAAAAAACTTGTGGACATGATCTTGGAATACCAGGAAAGCTTTCACTTTGCTTGTGAAGTCCAAGAGCTGCAATCGATTCTGGGCGCTCTGCTTGCAGGGTATCCTGAAACCTTGAAGCAGGGAAGCAAGGAACCCGAGCTGGTGAGGAATGGCGAGGTGTTTTTCTGCCAATTCAGCCGGTCATGTCAAGATTTCAAGCGAGAGCATTTGAATATTTGATATGTGTGAATCTGTGTGTATTTTCTAATGGGGATATAATGGGATGTAATGGGCATATCGGGTTCAAAGGGTGCATAGATGTAAATAGCCAAATAAAGTGGATGGATCGCATAAAGCTAACGCAAATGGAAGTGTCATGCTATATTGATGTTTTTTGGCATCCCATTTTTTGATTCTATGTTGGCTTTTGAATCTTTAAATTGTTGAGCCCCAGCATTGTTCTCCCCATTCAGGTGTCAGAGGAGGAACTGAAGACATGTTTGAAGAGTCTCCTGAGACGCGAAGACTTTTCCGTCCCCTGTGATCTACCTGCCTCACCGGCCAAGGCGGCGGCGTTTGCCGCATCCGGAGCAGTTGCTAGCAGGTCTAGAGCTGAAAGTCGTGAAGACAGTCAGGATCTGGACTTGGTCAACGCAACAGTTGCTGAATTGCTCGAAAAGCTTCAGGTCAAATTGCGTGGGGAGCAACAGGGAGGTAAAGAGCCCTCTGCCAGATTCCTCCTGGAAGGTGAAATTCCACACCTGCAAGATCTATTGACTTTGTGCGAAGATTTTATTCGATGGCAATGTTTCGTGAAGCACAGGAAAGGTGACAATCCGGAACTGCAGGAACCCTTTTGCAGCTTCCAACACTTTCCTGCTCACGTGAGACAGGTCTTGCAGAAAGTGGATTTCAAAGGTTTCGAAGAGATGCCAGAGATTCCGCAGCAACGCGGACTTGCCAAATCACACGAATTTACTTTTAAAAATCCGTACTTTTTTTTTGGAGGTGGCTAGTGTCTCGTGCGTTTTGAAATTTCCATCATGTCGATTTTGCGGGGGTTGCCAAGTCTCAGAGAGAACTATTTTCGGATAAAGAGACATCCCTGGAAATTCTAATCCGTTGGCTGCAATTGACCAAACGCGTTTTTTTCAGGAGCCTAAAATTGTGCGAATCTCAGGAAATAAACCCAACATTCTTATCAAAGTTTTACTGGGCAAAACAGTTGGCAGAGTTTTGGCTCAGATCCACCAAGAAATCGCTCTAAGGAGATGGGCCGATGTGCTGCTTCAATGCCTGAAACCTCTTCAGGTACCATTTGATGCTGAGCCCTTCTCAGATTTGCTGGAGGACCTACAGAAGGAACAATTTTCAAACACTGGCAACTGGAGAGGTGAAGTCTTTGCGCGTCAGGCGCCTGATCTGATTAACAAAGACGCTTCGGATGAGGACTGGGTTGAATGTTGGTGCAATTTTAAGGGGCTGATTTTTTGGCAAAAAGAATGTGAGTATACATTCTATATATATATACACACGCAACTACTTATGTATTTGATTCCATACCTGTTTAAGATATTGTAAGATGTTATTTAAGATTTGCTATATGATTTGTATATTTGTAGTGCGGCATGTCTTTTTTTATTTGATACTTGATATGTATCATGCAATTCTAGGCTCATTTGCATACATCCAGCCAACACGCATGTTATGTTCCTCAGAGTTTCAAAATTTGAGGACGACTGGCGACGGGCTCTTAGATCTTCAAGCCGTTTCCAATTCACCAGCCGACGTGCAGAGCATGTCCGTGAGTGGAACGAAACGTCCACGGGCAAACTCGACCCCAGCGCTTTTGGCTACCCACAGGATGCACAGATGACCTACAACAACAGAATTGCGCTGATGAGGCGTCTTTTGAAGTCTGACTCAGAAGAAGAAAATGAAGGTGATGATCACATCGATGGTGAACAAGAATCTCCAAAGATTAGTTTCAAAGCTGAAGCCGCTGAAGCCATGGATGCTGCCGAAAGCCCAGAGGATATGATCCCACTTCCACAAGCGAAGATGGAGTTGGACCAGCCGGACCGAAGAGATGTGGATTGAAAAGATTGCGAAAACATGTCAGACCTTTGAGTTTAATTTAAAGTTCAAGCTGTATTTTGTTGACTTCTCTTGTGTAATTTTTGCCAACAGCTCAGTTGAGTTCTGACTTGGATGCATCTAAAAGCGGGGCCAGATTTTCTCCGTGTGCACGCTGGTAGTCATGTGGCAAACCTGGTGCCATGAACGATTGCAGCACCAAGCCATGACTAGGGCCCAGGGGACCAGAAAAATCAATGATCCCCGTTTTATTAGGGATGCACCCAATGACACACCCCAACTGAGGATTGTTTTTGATTGGGTTTACAACACTAAGCCCTGGCCAGGTTGAAGATCACCGACTTCTCTGTTTGCAGGTGAGAAATTTCTTAGATTGTGTGAAAGATTACGGGATTTGTTTCATAACCAAATTAGAAAAGTCCTCTTTTATGATTTTGTCCTGCCGAGGAAGTTTAGAAGTCAAACTTCCGACTTATGGACAGATGCAGCAACAGCGCTAACAAGAACCAGAGAAGAGAAAGAGTCAGAGGAGAGAGAGAGAGAGAGAAAGAGAGAGTCAGTAGAAACAAGATTAAAAGTGAAGCGGCGCGTGCGGAGCCATCTGGCGGGACGAAAAAAGAATCGCACGCCACACGAAGCAGACTTGGAAGGCAAAAGGTTGCCGAAAAAGTGCACCTGACTGCGGTGCGAAGCGCGTGTGGAAGCTAAAAACACTTTAGAATAAATAGACAAATAGAGCGAGAAAAAGAAAGAGAGAGAAACTTAGAGCCTCAGCTACTTTTCGGTCCATTAGTGGATTTACTCTGCCATCCATATATGACGACAACTTACCTCTCCTATCAGTTTCCTATTTTTGAAACTTCCGCCACCGCCTTGCGCGGTACTACTTAGACTTCGTTATATTATATTCTTTTATTTATTTGTACATTATATGTCTATTGGATGATATTATTTGCTTTTTTAAAATTATTCTATTTTAGAATTGTTTTTTGATTTTATTTTTGCCTAAAACATTTATTTTGTTAAAATACTTATAACATTTTGGTTGTTGCTCTAATATTTGTTCGAATGTATAGTGAAGGAATTTATTTTGTTTGGTATAGTATTTAGAGGTTATATTTTGTTTGCGGTTTATTATAGACTATATTTATTTTTCATAAAAGTTATAGTATTTAAAAAATATTTCCAAAACAAAATAAGAAATTATATTTCATTTGGTTGGCAAAATATTTCGAGACCTTGAAGTGTGAAAGTGATGTGAGATTTTGAACCGCGTTATATTTTACTTATTATGCTGCTTGCTGCAAAATAACTCATGTAAAAAATATTATATATATATATGTATTGATATATTTGATGTTTATATATATATAGCTTTTTTATGTATTTAAGTACGCTTTGTATTTTAAATTTTAGATTTTATATTATTTGCTTTAAATTTTCTATTTTCTATTTTTTAATTTTTACCCTGCAGTGGAAAATATGGAGTGAACAAAAAATATGATTAGACGATGGCATGGCCGGAAAGAAGAGTTTTCGGTTCAGACCTGGTGAATGCTTTGAACCTGATTCTTTATATGTTGCTATTGGCAATTTTGGGCACAACTTGAACCTGAAATTTAAATGTGATCAGGTTCGAAATCGGCAGCCCCTGCCCCAGAGTGTTAAGCAGGCAATGGCAATGTCGATATTTATTTGGCTGTTGCGGTTAAAGACCTCTCTGGGGCATAGAGCACTTTAACCGGCTTTTGGCATCACCGTCCGCTTGATATTGATAGTGAGGGGGTTAGCCGCTATCTTTGATGGGTGGGTTGCATTGTCATTGCCTTGCTTGATACTCTGGGGCCCGTTCCCCTTCATGATAAAATATCTAAACCGGTATTTGAACCATGTCAGAGCCAAGCACTAACTTCAACCTCCAACATTCTTAGGGCCGGTGTTTTAATCGTGCTTCCCGACATGCGTTGTTTGATTCATAAACCCGACTATAGCCAGTTTCTTGCTCACAGCTCTCGCGCTTTGTGATCAGACTTCTCTCATTCCTTCTCATCTGCCAGCATGGCATGATGGTTGCCTCTTACTTTTCTCTTCAGGACTAACAAGTACATGCCCCCACAGCCCCTCGAACCTGATACCCGAGGGTTTGAACCTTAAACCTGCCCGTCTGATCAGGAGCGCGCCTACCTGCTCATTGACGTCCTGGAGCAGAATGGTTGCATGGTGGATGAGTTCGCCCACGAGATGGCAGCCAATGCCACGCAGGACTTACAGACAGAGAGCTGAAAGGGAGATAGACAGGACTAGAAACCACACGCGCCAGGAGTTCGTGGGCTGGCTCGAAGAGCTTGTGGCGGCAAACCACATCCCGCCCCTGCTCCTTGCCACGCCGGAAACTTGGGACACTCCTGCAAGACCTTCGATCTGCACAGCAATCAGCCAGGACAGTGGCTCCTGGAGGAAGTCAAAGATGCCATGCACCCGGAGGTCTTCAAGGAAGATGCTTTGGTGCAATGGCTTCTCTGCCAAAATCCCGAAGGCCAGAGAGCTGCTGACCCTGAGCACGTCCCTTGAGTGCATGTTCATGTCATCTCCCTCGTGAGGTGCAGGCGTGAGCTTTTTGAAGGCGCTGGCCGTGCCCAATCCTGGGCCTGAGCTGCAGCAATGGATTCTCCAAGAGCGGCGCCGACTAAGAATGATGTACACGGAGGACTCTTCTAAGGTCTGAACCTGAAACTTTGAAGGTTTGATCCTGATATTTTGAAGGTTTGAGCCTGATATTTTGAAGGTTTGAACTGGGCACAAGCGGTGCACCAGCTGGCGGCGCATGTTGGCCGCTAATTACTTCCTTGAGGACCGGGGTCAACCAAACATTTTGAACCTGAAATTCTGCAACAGCAATTTCGAACCTGAAACTTCATCATGTTCTTGGACCTTCCCTCGGCTCAGGAGGGCAAAGCCCACCTCGATCACTCGTTGCAGCTGGTAGATTTCCTGCAGGAACTCTCAAGATCTGTCTGCGACGCCGTCGCGATGGCAGGCAATTACCTTCGCCCAGAGGCGCGGTTGGGGTTGAGTTCGCTCAGGTTCAAGAAACTCAGGTTCAAGATGCGCACGTCAATAGAACTCAGTGTGCCTGATTTTTGTCAGGTGCTGCAAGCCCCTAAGCCCCTCTACCTCCCACTTTGGAGGACATGCTGGCCAACCGGCTCCAGTTCTTGGACCGCAAGGCTTCAGCGGAGCGGCGGCTCGGCGACGAGCCAGATGTCCGGGATCACGTCCTAGTCGCCAGGATGCATGCTTCGGTAGTCGCCGTGGATTTTATCCTGCGCAGCCTAGAGCGCATCGGCACAGCGAAGAAGCTCATCCTAGGAAAAAATATCGCCATCCTGAGCAATAGGGGTGCGGTGTACTTTCCGCGGGGGAGATACCCAGCAAGGACCTTAAGCGCACCATGCATGTTTCAACCTCGTGTTGTTGAAGTCCTTGCTTGTATTTTCGGGTTTCTTTTTTATGTCTCTTTTCTGGCAGGAGGTAGGCTCAGAAAGGGCCAGAGGAAGGTTGAGAAGCAACAGAGGTAGGTTCAAAACCAAGGCCTTGCCACACCCCAGCTCATTGGAGGAAGGTGGTTTTGCTTATCATTTCTCTTGGGGGTTCCCTTTCCTCATGGATACTTCTTTTCTTTTGTTTTCCCTTTGCCTTTTTTTCCTTTTGTTTCGGTATCTTTGCTTTTATGTTCTATATGTCCCTTTTTATTGCTTTTTTGGGTATTTTTGCTTTTTTGTTCTATATATCTCTTTTTTTGCTATTTTGCTGTTTCTTTTGTATTTTCGGGTTTCTTTTTTATGTTTCTTTTCTGGCAGGAGATAGGCTCAGAAAGGGCTAGAGGAAGGTTGAGAAACAACAGAGGTAGGTTCAAAACCAAGGCCTTGCCATACCCCAGCTCATTGGAGGAAGGTGGTTTTGCTTATAATTTTTCTTGGGGGTTCCCTTTCCTCATGGATGCTTCTTTTCTTTTGTTTTCCCTTTGCCTTTTTTTCCTTTTGTTTCGGTATCTTTGCTTTTATGTTCTATATGTCCTTTTTATTGCTTTTTTGGGTATTTTTGCTTTTTTGTTCTATATATCTCTTTTTTTGCTATTTTGCTGTTTCTTTTGTATTTTCGGGTTTCTTTTTTATGTTTCTTTTCTGGCAGGAGATAGGCTCAGAAAGGGCTAGAGGAAGGTTGAGAAACAACAGAGGTAGGTTCAAAACCAAGGCCTTGCCATACCCCAGCTCATTGGAGGAAGGTGGTTTTGCTTATAATTTTTCTTGGGGGTTCCCTTTCCTCATGGATGCTTCTTTTCTTTTGTTTTCCCTTTGCCTTTTTTTCCTTTTGTTTCGGTATCTTTGCTTTTATGTTCTATATGCCCTTTTTATTGCTTTTTTTGGGTATCTTTGCTTTTCTGTTCTA